TTCCATGTTTTTTTCTTCCGGGAGGAAACGCGAACTCATCCAGAACAACCCAGGTGGCAGGAACTGTATGTGGTAACCAAACCCCATTAAATGTTTAACATTTTAAAACACAGTGAGTGAGACATACGGCCGCACTTTTCCAGCAGTTTCAGCGGGATCTCATACGTCTTAGGCTGTGTAAGGAGTTTCCTGTAATGTTTTTGAAACTCACAGGGGTGTTGGCCAGGGCTGGGGTCCAGGGATCCGGCTCGTTCCCCTCCAGTCCCCCAGATAAGGCCGGGATCCCCCATATTAAGGGAAGAAAAAGGATTTTCATCACTTCAAGGAGGATTCATCAAACGCTCTGATGAAAGAGACGGACCTCTGGTGCCGGGGAGAAGTTCATTTAGAGTTTTCAGCCCGTTCAGAGCCCACAGAAGTGCTTCCCAAGTTCAGGTAGCAGACACTTTTCAACATCAGCTGTCCAGAGGAATCAGGCCTTTGTGGCTGAACATTATTGAGGAAGAGGAAGAGTGTTGTTTTATGATCCCCCCCCCCCCCCCCCCCACCCGGGCGGGGTGGGCTGCATCTGGCCCGCACCTGTAATGAGTTGGAGACCCCTTTAGAGAAATAGGGATACAAATATATAAAAGATGATTGAAATGATAATTCATTATCATTATCGTAATCATCATTCTCAAAAATAATTAAAATATGCAAAATTCAAATTAGAATAAAAATGTCTGTGTCACTAAGTGGGATCCAGCAGCTCCATTGGTGTATGCTTACCCGTCATGTTTATATATAGACAGAATGAGACGCAGACTGGTTAATTGTTCATAATGATGCTTGGTCATCCAGCAATTGTTATTCATTTATTTTATACCATTCAAACTTCATCGGATACTGAAAGGCGCCAGGATGTCATTCCATTGAACAATTAAAGTTAATCAGGTGTGTGAAGCTAAAGGGTGTGTCTGTGTCTGTGTGCGTGAGAGACAGTTTCCTCCAAGTTGACGTCCTGAGCGACAAGAAGGAATTTTGTGAAGGAAAAAATAAATTCTTATAGATATTTATGAGAGATTACAACAGAATAATAAAACAAATGGTGAGAAGTGTACAGAAGTAAAGTATAGTGTATACTTATATATGTGTAGACGTAATACTGAAATCCTTGTAAAATGAAATAGCAGAAAGACTGTCTTACTAAAAAGACTGATAGAGCCAGTTGTCTTTGTTGTAGTGTACAGGACAAAGTCATTACTGTGGGTGGTTTTAATCTTGGTGTGCATGTTGATAATGACAGCCTTTTGTACTGCATTAATGCTTACCCTACATCCCCCTACATCACCCTACATCCCCCTACATGACCCTACATCACCCTACATGACCCTACATCCCCCTACATGACCCTACATCCCCCTACATGACCCTACATGACCCTACATCACCCTACATCCCCCTACATCCCCCTACATGACCCTACATCCCCCTACATGACCCTACATCCCCCTACATCCCCCTACATCCCCCTACATGACCCTACATGACACGCTACATCCCCCTACATGACCCTACATCCCCCTACATCCTCCTATATTACCCTACATGACCCTACATCCCCCTACATTACCCTACACCCTCCTATATTACCCTATATGACCCTACATCACCCTACATGACCCTACATCCCCCTACATTACCCTACATCCCCCTACATGACCCTACATCACCCTACATCACCCTACATGACCCTACATCACCCTACATGACTCTACATCACCCTACATTACCCTACATCCCCCTAAATTACTCTACATTACCCTACATGACTCTACATCACCCTACATTACCCTACATCCCCCTACATTACTCTACATTATCCTACATGACTCTACATCACCCTACATTACCCTACATCCCCCTACATCCCCCTACATCCCCTACATTACTCTACATTACCCTACATGACTCTACATCACCCTACATCCTCCTATATTACCCTACATTACCCTACATCCCCCTATATTACCCTACATTACCCTACACTACCTTACATCACCCTACATGCAATTTGACTTTGCTCTCAAATTTTATGTACATAATCTACATATTCTCTCTGATTTTTTTCATCAGATCTTGAAAGGCACCACGATGTGTGTGTGTGTGTGTGTGTGTGTGCGCGCAGTTTACTCCAAGTTGACAACCCAAGACATAAAATAAAAGACAAGATGTAACTTAATAAACAAATGAAATTCTTATGCCAGATATGTATAAGAGACTACAACAAAATATTCTATAAAGAATGCTGACGTCATCGTAATGTAACACAGAGCTATTTTTGGCTCTATCCTTTTAATAAACCTCAAACCTAAACTCTCATTGGACAGACCGGTTCTCAGTCTTTCACAACAAAGTGTAAAACGATCCAGTTGTCTTTGTTCTAGTGCACAGGGCCCCAGGTCTTTCAGAACAAAGTAATTACCGTGGGTGGTTTTAATCTCCATGAGCATGTTGATAATGACAGCCTTGGTCCTGCATTTATCGCTTTGTTAGATTTTATTGGGGTTTTGAACAGCAACTACTCATTGTTCTCATCACACCCGTGACCTGGTTCTGCCACAGTTCAGCTCCACACCTCCACTCATCAGCCTGACCTCCCTCCACCTGTTCCCTCACAGGCCCCTGATCACTAGTCAAGCCTCTACAGCGCTGTATGTCTCACGATATCCGTGGACTCCTGTGAATGCTTTAGTCCGTGCTGGACTCTGTTGCTCCTCAGGAAAGAAGAATGGTAACTAGAAGGAAGACCTCGGACCAAGGACTCTGGTCTTGCCTTGTTGGACCTCAGTGCCGCATTTGACACCATTGATCATTGTAGCCTGTTGCAGAGACTAGAACTTTTAAATGGTATCACAGTTTTTCTCAATCGCTAAGACACTAAATCACATTCTCTGAACTAAATTTTCAGTGACCTAAACTCATTTTACGAATGAGGCACTCCTTTGTTTAAACTCTCTCACAATCTCACAATCTCATTCTCTAAAAACATAAGGCACTGTATGTGCACTTGGGTTCCAACAGGGTAAACACATTTCAATCAGGACAGACTCAGTCCGAATCGACAAACATTCCACATGTATAATATTGAAATGTGCAGAATCTTTGGCGATCGGACGCCATCCTAAACCGGAAATAATCAAGGGGACGTGATGCCGAGTTCTGCTTGACAGAATCCCCCCAAAAGATGAATTTTATATGAATAAAATGAACAGTGTCTCACCTACCGCAGCGTCCTAAGCAAAAGAGAACATTAGTCGCGTGAGAAATGGTTTCCATCATCAGTTTAGGTGAGCTAGCCAGAGTAGACCCAGTAACTAGTACAGCGAAAGACACCCACTAATGAAACAGGGGTCACGTTAGACCCGGAGGCAACCGAGATCCCGGTCGAGGGCACCACCACCAGTTATATGCATGACTTACCGGGCAAACTCGTTGACTCTGATTACCGTGGCGACGTTCCAGAACTATCGCTTAAGCTCCATGCTGCAAACATTATTACATATTGTGATGTCTATTGCTATTTACGGTATAGTTGATTTAGATTACTGTGCATTTTCCCTTCTTGCAGAACCACAAGAATAGAACATGCGCAAGAGGCCCTGATTGTAGATATGGCTCTTGAGAACAATGCCATCAGACTCCGTGAAATTCAGGAAAGAGTTGTTGAGGACAATCTCAACTTTGAAGGAATCAACAGTGTCAGCATTTCCACTATTGATCGTGTGCTCCAACGCAACACGCATGAAGTTTACAGAGTACACTTCCAGCGTAACTCTGAACGATTTCAGTATGTTCAAGTACGTGTACACTCTTTACTGTACTTTACTGCACATACAGTGTGCATAAAGAACACTCAGGAGTCTGCAACCTGCAGCCAGTGCAACCTGTCTATCTGGTAGTTTGGGGCAATGTGAGCTTTCACCGAAGTTTCCGAATTAGAGATTAGAAATGAGAGAGTAGAGGTTCAACGTCAACCCAAATGTCCTAAATGTCAGCCTTCCACCGTACAGACCTTTTCTAAAGGAAGAGAATAATTCTTCTCTGCGTGGCGGTGGAATGTGTATGACTGACAAGCCATGTAATTGGCTTGTGGTGACGTCACTGTGGAGTCTTGCCAAACTTGGGTCCGGCACACCAGAAGGTTTTTCCCCCGTTGGCTGGCAGGGGAGAACATCGCCTGTCAGGTGGATGAAGTCCTTTGGCCAGACCCACCAAGACAAGACGCTGAGGCACAGTGAACACTGATATTGACTTCCTTGTAATATGCTTTTCATTTACATTGTTTTTCATTACTATACAATCTGTTGACAGTTAGGTACTGTATTCAATTCTTTACCAACACACATTACACTTTTTCTTTAACTAAATGCCGTGGCTGCTGTGTTCTCCATTTTCTTGTGTTGTGTCTAATGATTGATCTACTGTGTTTAAATATGTACTGTGTTTGTGATCTGAAAGCATTGATTGATTGTGAACACAGGTTAAATGGTTTAGGGGCGAGTGTTTCATTTTACCAGAAGCTTCAGGAGTTTTGGGAACATAGTTTGGACATTGTGGTTTTGTGTTTGTTGTTCTGAGAAAATGGGTGACAGTTTCCTGAAATGTGTCTTAGCAATTGAGAAAAACTGTTAAGGAACCACTCTGGTTTAAGTCAAATTTATTACATTGATACCAGTTTTTGTTTGTAAACGGTGAATCCTTGGTGACCACCAATGTTATGTGCTTGGATTGATTTTTATTTACACTTTTTATAGGCAATTTTATCAGAAAACCCTGCATAAACCATCATTGTTATGCAGACGATACTCAATTGTATCTATTCATCGAGCTAGATGAGACCAGCCAGCTCATTAGACTTCAAGCATGTCTGAAGGACATCAAAAGCTGGATGACCTGCAACCTGATCTTAAACTAGGACAGAACATTCCTCTTATTATCCCCAGAGCACCTTCGCAGCCAGCTGTCTGGTGGTATAGTTTCTCTGGCTGGAATCGCTCTGGTATCCAGCAGCACCGTAAAGAATCGACCCGGATGTGTCCTTTATAAAACAAACTGCGAGGACTTCCCCTTTTCAACTACGTAATATTTTGAAAATCAGGTACTTTGTGGCTCAAACTGATGCAGGAAAATGAGTTCATGCATTTGTTACGTCTAAACTAGATTACTGGCTCCTGCTGACGTGAGCCGTCTGCTGTCTGGTGCGCTCTCCATCGGCCTGGACCTCGTTCTCTGCTCTCACCGGGGTTCCCCGTTGCCGGCCAAGCGCCCGCATTCTTCTGTTAAACGTAAAAAGACTTTTTGTTTGTAAGATCGTCTTGTGGTGAGTTATATTTTGGCCTTGGCCTTCCTGAGTTCATTAAAAGAGACTTCACCTTCCTTTGGTTTGGGTTCTCTCAACCGCACTCAGCTCGTTTAAGTCGAGGCTTAGGACTTTCCTCTTTGATGAAGCTTATAGTTAGGGCTGGCTCAGGCTAGCCTGGACCAGCCCTTAGATAAGCTGCTCAAGGCCTAGACTGCCGGGGTATTTCCTACGACACGCTGAGATTAACTTATTCAGGCTAAACATGTTTAAGACATGGATGCATAACAACAAACGTATAGAGAGAAACCTGCGATAACAGAACAGAATACTACACTTTATCTTTTGATGTCCCGCACAGCAGTGAAATGATTTAGTTCTTCTCTTACCTCATGGAAATAATTTGAGCTTTGGTCCAAAACTAAGCGCGGCCTGCTCTCTTCTGGCCGTAATGTGTACGGCACATAGCTTAAAGCACGGTTAACATTCAGGCCCGGTAAGAGACAGAACATGATCATCTCATTGGGCTCTTCGGTTCATTTTCTGTCCCTTCATTCTGGATTTGAGTGTTTGTTCAAAAGATTCAAGATATTTATTGTCCTGTGTACATTAACAGGTACATTAACTCTGTACAATGATATTCTCATTTTGCTATGCTCTCCTTCCACATAGACACAGATCTAAAAGAAAATAAATATATACGCACACTAAAGAGCAAAATGTATAAATATATATGCTGTGGACATTGTGGACACTAAAGTGCACCACGCACTGTATGTGTGTGCTTTATCACATCCCGCTTTTAATAATCACCACGGTCTTTAAACTGCTACGTTTAAGATTAAATGACTGTAGATTTATACTTTTATTTACACGTTGATATGATTTACATGAAAGTAAGAAAGTCTGTGTTCTGCGCAGGATGCACTGGCGTGTGTGCGTGTTCTCTGTGCTACGTTAGTGACCCATCTTCTTTCTACTGACATGCTGTACTGTAACAGGGATCCTGGTCACATACAAATGATCTAAAAACATGACAAAGAATTAGGAAAAGAAACATTGCGAACACACGTTGTTAGAATCAATTGTAAGTAAAAAGTGATAACAAAATTCTAGAGGTGTGATCAAATCTTTAATTTGTGTTAGTTTGTAAATTACATTACACACATTTGTGACATTACGCGGGGTAGAGCGCTCCGCTGAACGTGCAGTGGAAGGTGTGGAGGTGGGTGCGTTTGGCCGAAGGGCCGACGGAGGGGAGAAGGTAGAAGGACACGGTGCCGGCAGGCCAGTCCAGATACAATGCCATTCTGTTAGAGTCAGGCGGCGGGACAGGCACTTCTTCTGGTTCGTTGTTGTGCCAGGCGGTGAAACTCTGAGCCGTGCAGAACAGACTCCAGGACTGATCGTTCCGTCCGATGCAGCAGTTATCCCCGTCTCCTCTCCGGTTGATTCCTCTGTATCTAACTCCTATCTGAACCCTTCCTTTCCACCGGACCTCCCAGTAGCACCGGCCAGTCAGACCTTCTCCACACAGCAGCTGTCTCCATCTGTCAAACCTCTCCGGATGATCGGGGTACAGCCGTTTCTCTTTCACCAGCGTCGCCAGACGGTTGTCGTCAGACACCGAGAGGTTTTGGCCGGCTGTGGTTGAGTCCAGTGAAAGTTCACAGAAATCTGATGGGACACAAAAAACAACTTTAAGTTCACTGCCTTTGAAGTCACCGATGGATTTATACCTTTGGACGGAACCAGCCTTACTGTTCAGCTAGTCAATTAAAACCTCATCTTATTCTCGGTGACCTTTGTCACACGGGGCTGTAGTCAAACAGGTCCGGGACACTAGACAAGTTCAACTTACCCCAGTTTTGAAGAATTGATGGTTTCAGGCGACACTTTTGAAGAATTGATGGTTTCAGGCGACACTTTCCACAATGATCGGTCCTGTGGAGAAGGTATAGAATTGTAAATGGCAGAGAAAGAGAAAGACGAACAGACATTAAGTTTGCGTTCACACCTGTAGGTTCTTTGGGAAAACAAACATGAAGTTGTACAGACTGACGGGTGACTAGTTGATTCAACGGTTTTGGCTATTTTTTTGTCTGAGTCACAAAGGAAAATCACATGCACACAATCGACAACCACACGGTTTCTGAACAATTATATAATCAATGCTACTTGAGAGTTTCTAGTTTCCAGGCGGGGTCCTCCAGTTTAGCAGCCAGCAGTGTTTCTCCTGAGCCTTCCGGGTGGTTGAAGCTCAGGTCCAGCTCTCTCAGATGGGAGGGGTTGGAGGTGAGAGCTGAAACCAGAGAAGTGCAGCCTTCCTTTGTGACCTGACAGCCTGAAAGCCTGAAAACACGTCAAAAGCTTCATTAGAGATTTACACCTTCTTCAATCAATAATTATTCCGTGCAACAATCTGGTTGGACATTTGATGCTTCCTCATTTTATCCAGTTATTTTGTCTGTGGTCAAATTGCTCACAGATTTCTGGTTCTTTGGTTTCAGTAAAGACGTGATGAAGAAGTTCCACCAAACTGTATTTCTTTCCTATTAGCAGGTTGAGCTCTCGGAAAGCGAATGGGAAAACAAACTGAATGTTTTTGTTGGCTTTGTTTTTGGCCCAATCCAGGATGTACTTTTGCGTTAGGACTGTTTTCCCAATGCCGGCCACGCCCGTTGTCACCAGAGTTCTGACTGGCTCATCTCTTAGAGGTTTAAATATGTCCTCCCATCCAATTGTTGTTTGTGAGCCTGCCGTTTTGCTAATTTAACAAAACAAATTTAAGGGTTTGAGTGCAAACGAGAGACAAACAAACTATTTAAAGCAGACTTATTCGTTCTACTTAGTGATCAGAGCATACCATTCCAGAACACAAAGAATCAATGTTAGAAAGCGAAATGTGCTGTTGTACATTTCCATACCATGAAATCTGAGTCCAGGTTCTGATGATGCTTCAGCTTACGTTTGGTGAGAACCTCTGACCTCTTCTGGTGAGGTCTGTAGACCCAGAAATCATGTTATTTCACAAACTTAAGCGCACACACACACACGCACGCACGCACAACCTTCACTCCCATTAGCGTCACAAACCTGATCAACCTGAACTTTGAATTGTTTGATGGTATGTTGATCTGACATCCTGGTACCTTCCAGTAAGTGATGAAAACATTAACACAACTATTTACCTGAAGTAAATGATACTTGTGTACTTCATGTTTCTACAGTCCTACCGAGTATACGTTTCTATCCAGTACTTAGTGTAAATGCCACAGTACGTTGTGTGCTCCGTCGTGTCAATTCTCACCTGGGCTCATCGATCGTTCCTCCAGGCTCGGGTTCACTAATGGATGGGCAGCTCCTCAGGGACACACAGTCGGGTCCAGGTGAGTCGGGCTTCTCCTGCTTCACCGCGCTTCAACACAGACACTCGTACTCCAGGTTATTTACGCAACTTCAGAGAAATTCTGATTCTTAATTCAAGTCAGCAAAGTCACACAACACCCAAAAAGAATCCTCACGTTTGATCGTCAGACTCTCCTCCGTGCTTGAAATCCGTGTGCTCCCACATAGAATGGTGTCTCCTCCACGGGCCTTTTCCCACTAAGTCTGCTGCCTCCAGCTTCCCGGGACTTCGACACAGAGGCGACAATAAACATTCAAACTGAAAGTCTCTGTTGCTTCCTTCCCTCGGATGTTCGAGCGTCACCGTGCAGAATGATAAATGAGGAAAGCCGACCTCACCTGTTGTCTTTGGTCCAGCAGACACGGGCGCCGTCTTCCGTCGCCTCACACGCGTTGTAGTTTGCGCTCCTTTAGGGACACGAGCAGCATCACTCCCTGAGAGTTTGTCCCTGTTTGACTTCTTACCACAGCCTCTTTTCTTTAGTCAAACCGGTTTGCAGACTAAATATAGACAACACGACTACATGGACGCCCACATCTGCTTTGACTGTGATTACAGAATCGAGTCCTAATACCACACAAACAATGGACCTGTAGACGCAGACAAGTTTAAAACAAAACAATTACTGGAAAATCTGTATGTGTATATGTATGGATTTATATCTATATACATGCATACATATACTGTGTGTATATATACAGGTATACGTATATATCTACATTCATATAGACATATAGATACGTGTGTGTGTGTGTGTGTAAATACGCGTGTTTTAGTAATCAGGAACTATCGCTGAGAAATGCGCGCATATTATTCGCTCAAATGTGCACACGCCCTTACACGGACGCATCCGCGCGCGCGCGAGCAGATGACAGGTCAGGTGACAGTCACGTGTCCCGGTCAGCTGATGCTAACGCTAGCAGCCCGGACGGACGGTTTAGCAGCAGGGACGGATCTGACGGTCAGCCAGGATGCCTTTCTCCGAGCTATACTTCAACGTCGATAACGGCTACCTGGAGGGGCTGGTCAGAGGGTTTAAAGCCGGAATCTTGTCCCAGGCGGATTATTTAAACCTCGTTCAGTGTGAGACTCTGGAAGGTGAGGACAAGCAGATGTCGGCTAACGGCTAGCAGCTAGCCGCGCAGGGCTAATGCGAGCTAAGCGAAGCTGTCAGCCTGAAAGCTGACGTTAGTTAGCTTGTTTTAATGTGGCTTTAATGTCGCCAGTCGACATCGCGCTTGTCATCGTGGTCACGAGGCGCTGCTCGTTGAGCGTCACGTCGACAGTCGGCGATTACATGTCACATCGTATGCGACATCTGTTTATTTCAAGCATGATCTCATATACATCCTAGCTAGCTAGGCAGCTAACATTATGCTAACACAAGCTCCGCAGTTGTATCAATGGGCTTTTACAGAGGAAGTGAAATTAACGTCGGAAGAGATTTTTTCACTGCATAAATGTTTCAGTTTACTGAAGTTATAAGGCTGCGTTAGCTTTAGCTAGCTCTATAGCACTGAAGCTAACGTTAACGTAACGTTACCCGCTGCGCACATTGGCACACTTAATATTTATTACATCAATGCATCATAATTACTGATGCTTTCGTATGTGACTGCGTCACTTTCAGATAGTTAAGGAGAAGAACAACATATGTACGTTATTGCCAAGTAGAATCCCATATAACATTTACTGGTTTGATATATTTCAACACGCAATAAAATTAAATAGATGTAGATAGATTGATACTTTATTGACACCTCGAGGGAAATTTTGATATCACAGCAGCATGTACAGGGAAGAAAAAAGAATAAAAATATACACATTATATACAATATAAGATAGAAATATTAAATTATTAAATTAAATAAACTAAACAAACAAAAGAATAACCTTCAAAAAGAGACAATAATAATAATTTGTAAAAGGAGACGAGGAAGAGCAGCAACATCACAGCAGTACAGGGATGTTATTGTCGTTTTTGGGCCAGAGATTTATTGAAGTGTTATTGCACTGGGCGGGAATGACCTCCTGTATCGGTCCTTGTGACCGATAGAACATGCATGATGAAAAAATGCCAGTGTGGTGAACTGGTGCACAGTAGAGAAGCATACTGTACTATAGGTGGGATTATACAGGTGTAAACCAGCACACCGGTAAAGTTGACCTCTGTGGAGTGAAGAGCTCACGAGCTCAGTCACGTGACCTTTATCATGAACATTCATGTAAACATTGTGCCGCCTGGCGCGGTGAAAGGTGACATCGTGCGTTTGGTGACGTAACGCCAGCGAGGCCTCTTTGCAGACCTGAAGCTGCACCTGCAGAGCACCGACTACGGCAGCTTCCTGGCCAACGAGGCGTCTCCGCTCACCGTGTCCGTCATCGACGACAAGCTCAAGGAGAAGATGGTGGTGGAGTTTCGCCACATGAGGAACCAGTCGTACGAGCCGCTGGCCAGCTTCATGGACTTCATCACGTAAGCAAGACGCGTGTGCGTCTGTGCGTGTGCGTGTGTGCACACAGATGCACAGTTTCTGTTTTGCAACTTTTTTTACATTTTGAGAATTTCACATTGAACATTGTTCTACATCATGGAGCAACAAAACACCACATGTCGAAATACACAACAGATAATAAAGAGAATGGTTTCCATTTAAACTAATGCACTTTGGTATGTTTGTATGTCACAGACATCTCTGGTTAAACCACGAAAGGATATGAATTCGTTTAAAAACCAAAAGGTGACGTGCTGGATAAAAGCACTGCAGAGCTCGACCCTTTTATACACAAATTACTTGGATAAAGACCACACGTTAGTCCTCTCAGTGTTGTAATAGCAGCCCATGCCCCCCACCCCCCCCCCCCCGTCTCCCCCCAGGTACAGCTACATGATCGATAACGTCATCCTGCTGATCACCGGCACCCTGCACCAGCGGGCCATCTCCGAGCTGGTGCCCAAGTGTCACCCGCTGGGCAGCTTCGAGCAGATGGAGGCGGTCAACATCGCCCAGACCCCCGCCGAGCTCTACAACGCCATCCTGGTGGACACGCCCCTCGGTGTGTACTCCCCCGGCCCTCATGTCCGTCCAGCTCTGTGACGCTTTTATCAAGCAGAGACTCTTATTTAGCAAATGAAGCTGTGACCAAAGGGACTGAAGTTAGCTAATCAATAAGGTTTATGAATAATGTGAACTTTAGCACTGTGAGTTAGCGTCTTAGTTAGTCTCAATATAAAGAACACAATTTATTTGATTTCATTTGTATTTTTAGATTTTTCATCCAAATCACCAATTTGTCCCAAGAACGCAAATCTAAGTTTCGACCGGTTTTCTTTTCTTTCCCTCTTTTAGCTGCGTTCTTCCAGGACTGCATCTCTGAGCAGGACTTGGACGAGATGAACATTGAAATAATCCGTAACACACTGTATAAGGTAAAGCATGTTAGAGTTACATTACGTGTCATTTAGCTGCCGCGTTTATCCAAAGCGACTTACAAGAACTTCATTCAACCATAAGAACAAGAAACAGCCGACCCACATTTTATATTCTTTTATATTAATTTGACTTGGATTGACTTTGTTCCTGTATTCATTGGATGAGTAAATACTGTACTATCAGTAAAGTGACATCATGGTGACGTTCTCCCCTCTCAGGCTTACCTGGAGGCTTTTTATAAGTTCTGCTCCAACCTCGGAGGAACCACGGCCGACACCATGTGTCCCATCCTGGAGGTGAGTGTTCAGGGTTCAGAGGCTTAAACAAACGGATGCATGGACGCAGCGCTGCTGGGGAGAGAGGGAACACCATCATTGATCAACCGGCTGCTGGAAAATGGTCCAAGTAGGGCAGTACAATCAATTTCAGCAAACATCCCGAGATGATTTAATACAAAACAACTTCCAACATGAAAAAAATCCCTGGCAATTCAGTATAGATTTCCATATTTATATGAAAAGTATGAGATCATTCCGCCCGACAATTCCAGCCTCCACGAAGGCACAAGCTTCGGGCAAAACCAAGGTCGCCCCACGCCGTGTCTATTTAAGGACGCTGACCATTTTTAATCCGTATGGATCAGGATGCTTGTATCGATAAGATCCCATCGATGCCCAGCAGGGTCTGATTTAACGTACGAGTAAATCGGTCCATGTGAAGCTCCGACTCTTCAGGAGGACCGGCTGATCTTTCTGATGTCTCGTACAAAATCCCCTCCCTGCTGCAGTTCGAGGCGGACAGGCGCGCCTTCATCATCACCATCAACTCGTTCGGCACCGAGCTGTCCAAGGAGGACCGCGCCAAGCTCTTCCCCCACTGCGGCAAGCTTTACCCAGAAGGCCTTGCTCAGCTGGCCCGGGCGGACGACTACGATCAGGTCAAGATCGTCGCCGACTTCTACCCGGTGAGTTCCAGGCCTCCGCCGTTGTGTCTCTTGTTTGTCGCCATTGAGGCCGTCTCTGACCGCTGACCCCGTGACCTCAGGAGTACAAGCTGCTGTTTGAAGGAGCCGGCAGCAACCCAGGCGACAAAACGCTGGAGGACCGTTTCTTCGAGCACGAGGTGAGAAATGGAGACGCCACTTAGTTTACACGCAGCGACGTTTGGAGTTTTACGCTCCTCCTTCCTCCTCCTCCTCCTCCTCCTCGCAGGTGAAGCTGAACAAGCTGGCCTTCCTCAACCAGTTCCACTTCAGCGTGTTCTACGCCTACGTCAAGCTGAAGGAGCAGGAGTGCAGGAACATCGTGTGGATCGCCGAGTGCATCGCCCAGCGGCACCGCGCCAAGATCGACAACTACATCCCCATCTTTTGAGGCTCCGCCTTCTTCCTCCTCATGTCATCGTTGTCCTTGAGCGGCGTCTCCGGTCTCCCTTCGATGTGTCACATTCTGACAGTCTGATGCTAAATCTTGTGCATTCTTTCGCTGGCTGGTGTAAATTGTTTTCTATGGTATTTTCTGCTGCAGCGAGAGTTTCGTTTTGGGCTCAAAACACTTTGAACGCCGCCGTCTTCTTCTTAAAGACACAGAAAGTGAACATATCGCAGAAATGAAACATTCCGCTGCTCATCACCAGTATTTATTTCTGTTGTAGTGCTTCCTTCTGTCAGCATGTCTGGTCATAACTGTGCCCCCCGTCTGCTGTCTTAACTATATTGTTGTTAGATATCCGTAAAAGCAGCAGGTGCCCCCCCCCCCCCCCCGGTTAGTGTAAATGAACGTGCTGGAATGAGGTGAAATCTTGAGTATACGACCGGCTTAATGTTTAAACTATACAAAGATATATAGATATTTAAAGATGATTCTATGATTTTACTTCTGCTGTAAAAAGAAAAAAAGAGTTGGATTTGTTTGTGTTTCTTACTCGTGGAACGTGTTCTGTAAATGTGATGAAGAAATAAATGGACTCAGCTGCTCTGATGCAGGTCTGGAAGAACTGAGGCTGTGACTTGTGAGCGATGCCGAGACGAGGTCAGAGGTCAACGCTGACCAGAAACCTCCCTCCACACACACACACACATTAACAGACAGATGTTTGTGCTCGTGTCTCTTCCTGTTCCAGATGAGCTGCACGACCCGCTTCCTCTAAACTCCAGTTACACAATCAAGATTTTTATTTCAATACTTGTGTAAAATACTGGTCACTCGACAAGTTCAAAAAATAATAAAAATATAATTATGCAGGAGGTGGAAATATTTTATGTGACACGCAGTTCCTCTAATAGTTTATTTAAACTGAATTAAATTGAACTACTAAAGAAGAAACTGTTATAAACCCCAAATCTGATGAAATACAACCGGGTTTTATAAATCTATTCAAAGCTGCGTTTCCAAAAGTTCTAGACTTCAGGATTTGATCGTGGAGGTCAAAGGTCACAGTGACATCACAAAACCCTTCATTGTCCCTGACTCAGGAATTCATCTGCTTGTTCTGACTTTTTCACACGCGTGACCAACGACGACGAAACGACGAGGCCTTTAAACAGCGGCCCGTGGCCGGTTGTCATGGAGACGGCTCAGGCTTAAGAACGGCACGCGCCGTTCACAACAGGTGGATTGGTTTTACCGGCGGAGGACTCCGCCCCCTCCGGGTAGGAGCGACTCGGCTGAACTCCATCAGCTCTGATTGAGTCCAATCAGAGCCGCTCCAGTGAAGTGAGGGCGAGCGCTTCCCCCTCCCCCCCCCGAGGAACCCCGTCCAGCGATGAGCTTCCAGCTGAGGACCAAGGCGCGCCTCTCCGAGCTGCACTGCTGCGTGGGCCTGACGGACTGGGACATGGACAAGGAGCTGAAGCTGGCCACCACCACCGACCAGTTCCACCACGGTGACCGCTCGCTGCCGAGGCCCGATGCGCCGAGAGTGACCATGTTTTAAAGTGTCTTAACCCATCGCTGCCGACAGATGACAAGCTGGTGGACCAATACGTGGTGCAGAGGCCTTCTGCCCGAGCCCCCAGGAGGAAGGATGAATTCATCTGGTACGACAAGACGTCAGGTGAGCTGGAGAAGGATCAGCTTCTGCAACCACGACGAGTTGTCCAGACGACGTCCGCCGCCTTTTTTTTTTAAGCGTTCCATCCGTGTGCTCCCCGTCCCTCAGACTCCTTCGTGAAGCCCAACCTGTGGCTGCTGGTGAACCCCAGCATCGCCTGTCCCGTCCGCCACCGGGACAACGTAGCCCGCGGGCCCCGGGGGGGCCCCCCGCCCGTCCTCCAGGAGGACCACACGGTACCACTGAGCCTCACCGCCCGATCTCGTCCACGGGTTTTATTTAATGAAATGCTTTTAGTAGAGGAAGCGCCATTAAATGCCTCCTTTCCCACAATGTGTTTATTATCCAAGCTCTAGTTAGCCAGTTAGCCCGAAGTATCTGCAAATCAGACCAAAGCAATGGAGCTAAGATGTGATCCGTAGTGTCTTTTTGTGAATTTGCACACTGAGAGAATTCGAGCGTAATCTTTTTTTTTTTTTTTAACTGACCTGTTGGTGTAACGAGGCTCTCTGCAGGACGTAGGTGGGAGGCTTTTTGACGCCTGTCGGCAGATAGTTTTCTGCTTGGTCTCCAGTTGGTTTACATCTACTGGGCTGGATTCACGATGCTTCCAAACACCAACTTGGGAGAGAGATGACGGCTGTGCAGTGTTTCGTGCCTGGAGATGCATGTTGGGGGCGAGTTCATGGTGCGATCGTTATCTGCTGATGCGCGTGACGAAGAGGAACTGTGTCTTTTGACCATCAGATCAAAGGTGAAGACGTCTCCAGTCGACCAGTGAAGAACAGACGAAAGGGAAGAACCCCGACGTCCCGCGTGAGTCAAACACCATGGAATCCGCTTTATATTCGTTCCGTCATCGTCTTGGTTTGAAGCGAACGCAATCGGACCTCCCATGAAGCAACTCGGCCTGTTTTGATTTCAACCCAACGCCAAACATTCTTTTCCAGAGACGACTACCACTTTAGTCCACAGGGGGCGCTGCGATCAACACACGAACCGTCACCTCGGAACTTCATCTTTTGATTGCTGCTCCTTTAGTCCATGTTTATGAATAAAAATGAATCTGACGATTATTTAAGTCTTTTTAGAGATTAGTACTCTGTCCTTCCAGGACAGTAAGACCCTGAAGCCGGGCTGCTGGCCCCGCCCACCCGTCAACTACTGCATCCTCATCGCCTTGGCGCTGAAGAGCAGCCACACGGGCGGCCTGAAGGTGCAGCAGATTTACAACTTCACCAGGGAGCACTTCCCCTTCTTCCAGACGGCTCCGGACGGCTGGAAGAACACCATCCGGCACAACCTGTGCTTCAACAGCAGCTTCCGCAAGACCTGCAACCAGCTGTGCCGGGACGGCAAGAGGAAGTCGTGCTTCTGGCACCTGACGCTGGACGGCCAGCGGCGGCTGAGGGACGAGATCCGCGCGCTGACGGGGGACTCGTCCCGCCAGCTGGAGCGCAGCATGTCCCGCCCAGGTGGGTGTGGCCACGTGCCAGCCGGGACTTTTACTCTGAAGGGGCTTTTACTCTGAAGGGACCATAGTGAGAGGAGGAATTGTTGTTTTGAGTAAATAAAAATCCCTGCTGAGCTTCTTTAATGTGCTTTAAATAAGTAAATCAGAGGGACGGTTTTAGTTACAACGAGCTGAAAATGTTCAATACTAAAAATACTGTTTTCTTCTTGTTTCAGATGTGATTCAGAGTTTATTCACCGTTTGACTGCATGTTGAAAACAAAGTTAATGCATAATTAAACTTTTCTGTTACGCTGAATATTATTTCTGTAACATTTCTTGTTAAATGTTTGATTTACTCACTTCATTGTTTAAAGTTCCCTAAATAAACACACTTGTTCATGTTTAAGATGGAGTCTGTCCGGTTTAATGTTTCTTTTTCCACACGATCATATTTTATCACAAACCTTCAGCACAATCGGCAGCAGTCAACATTTAAATCTTCTTTAAAGATTTACATTTTTCAAATCTTCCATTTGTTTGTTGCGCTTCACAGCCGTGTGGCTGGTTTACATGTTGGATTGTCTCATATCGGTGAGGATTAGTGGAGCTTTTGTCGCCGTGGTTACACCTGTTAAATGTACCGTCTCCCTCTCAAATGTTCTAAACCAGCTTTTATTGAATTGTAGAAAAGTGGCTGAACTTGTTCCACCCTAAAGACTTCCTGATATTTGGGTCATTGTGGTGTTTGAGGCTCGGGGCCTCCAGACGTTTGCTTTCAGGACTTTGTCCTCTGAATCACAACACGGTGACCTTGAGTTTTTTTTTTTTTCCCCAAGGCTGCTTTGTCTAATTTGCCTCGACAGTCAAATCGCAGGTGGAGACGGATGCAGCCGCGGGTGGATTTACGTGTCTCCTGCTCGAATGAGTCAAATGAGCGGTGTGACCCCCAGGAACCTGGGGGGGCAGATGTTTGTGTCCAGTCACCGAGAGACCAGCAGCAGCTCAGGTAACGGAGGACGAAGAGGACACGTTTAAGGTCTGATCCTCGTTTCGGGGGGAAAAAATAATTCATAAGTACGCCTCAGTATTTAATCTCTTATTCACCAGCTTTTAATGGTATTTCTGGTCCAGCAGGAAACCGAATCCCGAAGATGAAGACCTGCGGCCCCTTCCTCCTCTTCCTCTGTGGCCCCGTGGCTGCACTGGGATCAGTGGTGGTTGAACGTTATGAGCACGTAAAGAAGTGTTTATCCTGGCACGAAGCTCAAAGTCACTGCAGGAGGTGCGTCTGTCTTTTTGTTACTGACCCTGGAACCAGACGTCTCACCGCTCAGTGTCTGCTGGGTTTATTTGTTGAGGTTCCGGTAGTTGAAGCACGACGCGCTTTACTGGTTTCAAAGGTTCCTCAAACCCTTTTTTAAAAAGTGAGCCGATCGATCAGCCACTATGTTCATCGGCCGCTCATCAAATGTCAGTGTAAGACGAACATGAGATGTTTAGAACAATAATATTGTTTTCTGACGGAGCACTTTGCATATTAAAACATTTCATTTAGCAAATTCACCGACTTGGGGACCATCTACGAGGAGTCCGATGAAGAAACAAACCTGGATTCTTACTCTGCGTGGATCGGCCTGCACAAAACACCGAGAGGCTGGTTTTGGTTTGATGGACATGAAATGTCACTTAATGACCCCGACTGGGCACAAGACGAGCCGAACCCTTTGGAAACATGTGCAGTCGTCTCTTACGGCATCAAAAAGTAAGTTCTACTACTTACATTTGATTCATCAACTCTTGTGTGAAATGCACCGTACGAAGAGTCCTTGACACTGATCATGACTCCAGCTCGTTCGTACAGTTGAATCAACTGTCTGCAGTGTGATTTCAACTCTGCACTTTGACACTTTTGAGAACATCAGAAAATTGTCTCTAAGAATTCTGCTGTGGAGGACGTACAGAAAGTAACGTCGCTCCGTTCAGAGGGAGAGTTTCCCTGTTTTAAGGTTGAGGAAACCTTAAATTGTACTTACAACAATGTCTCTTTTCTGTGGCTAGTTGTAAATTGGCTCATTTGATAAATGTGCACTTTGTTGCTTCTTGTTCTTCTCGCTTTGTGTCCTTATGGTTGAACGCACTGGTTGTAAGTGGCTGTGGATGAAAGCGGCAGCTAAACGTAAAGTAAAGGTGACGCAGTCAGCGTGTCACCTGCAGCGTCGACTCACCGGATCACAATCAGCTGTTTGAAGTACGACGAAGTTGCTTTTGGGGTTTTTTAGGTTCAGCGGTGAAATCATGTTTTATAAATGGAACTACAGGTAAGAGGAGTAACATGTTCAATGTGTCTCAACAACGAGGAAAAAACGTTTGCTTTTACGTTTTGTGCTCATCTCCATATTCAGATTGCTCGACTTTTCATTTATTATTTGTATAACTGCATGTTTTTTCCAGAATTGAAGCATATTATTTTTTATATATATTATTATTTTTAATAAATGCATTGTTATTTTTAATATCAGTTAAATAATCAACAACGTGCATCGGATTCTTCTCTGTAATTTGTCGTTTTCTGTTACGATCTCTCTTGAAAGGGTTTATGGCAAAAGGTGTGAGGAACACAACTTCTTCTTCTGTGAGGAGAGGGGCAGTGACCGGTTCACCTTCGTACCGGAGTCCAAGAATATGTCTGACGCCAAAGCGCACTGCGCCTCGCAGAACAAAGCTCTGGCATCTTTCCACATAGATCGCATTTTCCAGTCAGAGGTCAAGAAGCAGGACTATCCGGTCTGGACCGGACTTCACCGAGAGGGTAAACCTCATCGTCCTCACCAGCCCAGAACCTCATTCATCGGTGAGTTCTTTTCTAAGTCGGCGCGGCTCTTCTTTTGTTTCAGGGGGAGCGTGGAAGTGGAGCTACGACTCGTCGGAGTACAGAAATTGGGCCTCACAGGAGTCCAGCGCCACGGGCGACTGCGTCGCCATCTCCTCCCGAAACAAGAAGATGTCCGCCCAGAACTGCGAAGCCCGCTTTCCCTTCGTGTGCCTGAGCACCAACCTGGTGCTGGTGAGGGAGGAGAAGACGTGGGAGGAGGCGCTGCGCCACTGCCGAGCCCTCGGCTCCTCCGCCTGCGGCAGCCGGGAGTACGACCTGGTCAGCGTGCAGCCCGGCGACGAGCGCGAGCACGTGCACGTGAGCGCCGCCGTGCAGGAGGCCGACACCGAGGAGGTGGGTTCAGCATCACGTCTGAGGTTCAATGAGTAAAGTTGGGTGGACGTAAGGTGAATACGGTAAAGAACAAAGACGAAAAGGAGCACGAGCTTTTCGAAAAGACGTATTTAAATATGCAAACTGTAAAAATAGTCGCGTCAAGATGAACTGATTGGACTCTGCTGGACAAAGTTCACTCAAAGCAAGTCCTCTTTTCCCTTTGGTCCGAACTCATAATCGAGCTCCTGCGTTCCTCCTGCAGCATCGGCTCTTTAGCGTCTCTCTGGTCCTCGGTGCTCATCATCTCGCCCACAGACGTCCCATAAAAACACAAAACCAGCTCTTCTGGGCTTCTGGAAAGTGTTTAACTCCATAAATGATTCAGAGGGAAAAGTCACAGTTTTTACAGACCTGTTTCTGTGACAGTGGAGGATTCGCGGTGAAAGACGCCTTGGCGGAGCTTCACCACCGGTTTGCTCTCCTCCCAGGTGTGGGTGGGCCTCCGGTTCCTGGCCGGTTCCTGGCTGTGGGTGAACGGGGCGACCCTGCTGTACCCCGACCTGCCGTCGTGCCCCCACCCGCTGCAGCGCTGCGGAGCTCTGCCCAAGAGAAGCGCCGGCGGCGGCTTTTTGCTGGCAGACTGCGCCGAGAGAAGGAACTTCCTGTGCTACCGCAAACAGTGAGCCGCAGATGCTAACACCAGGCTGCTAACGCCACGTGAGGATTGACTTTAACCGCGTTCAATCAAACTTTAGTCACGCGCTTTGAGATGTTTTCTGTAAACTTTTAAGTCGATCATTAAAAAAAGAAGCAGCTGAACTGAGTGTCTTTGTGTCATTAAAGGAGCAAAGTAACACATTTTGCAGGAGTTGCTCCTCGGGTGCAACTTCAGTTTTTTAAACTAAAGGGAAAACTCCATATTTACAAAATAGTTAAGGAATAACTGGTGCTTTTAATGACCTGGATGGAACGAGTTACTCGTATTTGAATGTCGGTCACCAGGAAATGAGTCCCGATGGAACCAGCGACGCCGGCAGATCAGATCAGGGCCGTAATCTTTACTCTGAATGAAGTGTTAAGAGGAACGAAGCAGGAGACGAGGAGGAGACGAGGAGGAGACGAGGAGGAGACGAGGAGGAGCTGACTCATGCCGACCTCTGGAAACAATGACGTCAGCCCCCAAACCTCACCCTCCCTCTGACCTCTGACCTCCTGCTCCTCTTCTCCATCCGACGGCTGAGGATGTGTGTGTGTGTGTGTGTGTGTGTGTGTGTGTGTGTGTGTGTGTGTGTGTGTGTGTGTGTGTGTGTGTGTGTGTGTGTGTGTGAGAGAGTGACACTCGGGATGAAAATAACAATAAGTCACTTCAGTGTTGAAACATTTAGATTTCCTGTCGGTTCCCTACAATATCGGCTCGTCGCATGAATTTGGTCCTTTCAAAATAAACTACCAGGAAACGGTTTCTTCAGATTTCTTGGTCCAGATGTTTGAACCTCGTCAAGTATTTGACTTGCTGGAGGATCAACGTAGGTTTCATCATCTGAATCCTTCAGGTAAATGTCCCTTTTTACTGCGCAGCCACTTCCTGATCTTCAGAAGGACCACTTCTCGCTTTGCGCAGTTCTCCTGAGAGACCTTTGGTGATCAGCAGCGTTTTGCATTAATCGATCGTTAAGACGAAGGCAGAAAAAGAGAACAGGGCTGTTTTACAGTCACTCTGTAATATTTAAAGATGATTCTGGATGCGCGCCGGGATTAATACTGAAAATATAACCCATAAAAGCATATTGATTAGTGCTCATTAAGCCCCTCACGCCTGTCGGTCGACTTTTACTTTGGTGAAAAGCGCTCAGGCGCGTTAAGTGCTGTGGGAGTGTTGCCGTGGCGACCGTTTTGTGGAGTGTTTGTGAGCGTTTCAAGCTCTCCAAGGATTGTAAAGTGTGTGAGAAAGAGAGCTGGCTGGAAATGCCTGTGTGACCTAATGCACATCTGTGTGTGTGTGTGTGTGTGTGTGTGTGTGTGTGTGTGTGTGTGTGTGTGTGTGTGTGTGTGTCTGTGTGTGTGAGTGTGTGCGTGTGTGTGTGTGTGTGTGTGTGTGTTGGACCGATGATGAGAGTTTCTAAAGAGCAACATTCTGCCTCCGTGTGTTCAGGAGTAAACTTCCATCAGTCTGAATGGAAGCAGCAGACAAAGGAGCGGCTCCTCTTCTGGTCTGATATTTTATTCACAAGCTGCTGAACGGACAGCGGATCCCGTCCGCCTGCTGCTCTCTTTTTGCTTCCGTCACTTTACGATGAGATAAATACGTGTTTATTTTCACATTTACTTTTGGTCGGAGGAATGTTTTTTTTTTTCTTCTGCTACTTTAAACTCTTAAAAACTTTAAACAAAATAACTCAAGTCGACCTTTGACATCCAGCTCAACCCGCCGGTGATCACTGGGCTGTAAACTGACAAGGAATCAGCTTTCAGAACAAAGCTCCTACAATACGACTTACTTCATCCCCAGGAGACTTTTTCATCTTTTGAAATATAAAAGCATTAAGAAATTTTACACAAAATATATATTTAGGAAAATGTTGAATGTAATATTCAGTACAAACAAAGCACTAAATGTGTTAAAACAGGCTGTAAACACTCGCACAACGTGAATATGGAAGAACACGCATAAATATTATAATGCCACTGTTCCACTGTGATATCATCTTACTGCCTCCAGCCCCGCGGGGGAGTCACATGACCCCGTGAGGGAGAAAGAAGAGGGGGGGGGGGTCAGAATCCCTCAATGAAAACCACATGGAGGGAGGAGAGAGAGTGAGAGAGAGAGAGAGAGAGAGAGGAGGCAGAGCAGCTGGAGGAAAGCCTCCAGAACCAGGACCAGGAGATCAGAAGCAGGAGGTCAGAAGCAGGACCAGGAGGTCAGAACCAGGAGGTCAGAACCAGCCCGCTCCAGCATGTCTGAGTCCATCAGGAGGAAGAGCTCCAGCAGACAGCTGCTGCAGAACCTCATCAGGTGAGAGAAGCTCCTGTTTGTTGTGGATCACCTGCAGGAGAACCAGTGCGTTGGTTTGAATCATTGGACAGATGCAGTTAGTGAGTTCGGCAGCATTTTACATTCTTTCATTCTCGACCGGATCGATGTTAAAATGTGCTTGTGTGCGGTTTTTCAAAAAGTTTGACATATATATTAAAAAAAAAAATCCGTCCGTCGCAAATGCAGAACTTATAACATAACTGTAATAAATCAGAAAGAAAAATGTCCTCCTTTTATTTCATTTGGGAGACATTTAGCCGTATTAAACATAGAAGCACAACCGTATGAACATTCTGCAGTAAAACATGATTACGGCTCCACGCGGCTCGTATTATTAACGTTATGACGGATGTCTGCTCATCATTTAAAGACGCGAAGGGAACACAGACACCACGAGGACGGCGTCAATATGTCAACATGTTTACTGCTTCTTTTCTGTGTTTGTTCTGGAAGAACTCAGAGGCCAGTGAGGAAACTACACACAGAAATCTGGTTATCCGTTTAATCCGTCGGATTGTGATGATTATCACTTTGGTTCTGATTTTTATTTATTTTTTTAACCAATTTTTTTCCCAAAAATGTAAATGTCTTCAGAATCAGAATTGTATTTGTTGTCTTGAAATACACATTAGCATGAATCCAACATATTGTAGAAACGGATAAATCGATGGTTCCGTTCATGCTCACGTCTGAAGAGGGCGGAGCTCAGAGATAAAAGATGGCGGACCGGGGGGGTCCCTGCTCCATCTCGCCATCAGTTTGGGGGACCTTGGCCTGAAGAACGTTGGAGACCCCTGATATATATGATATAATTGATGCTGTAAGACTTACCTGTGAGAAGTAACCTGGATGCTCTCCAGCCTCGTGTTTGGGTCGTACCATTCTGGACCGCGGCAGAAAGGCAGGGGTGCAAAACAGGTTTCAGTCTCAGGTGATATTACTTCATTATTAATATTATATTCCATTGGTGTTAATCACCACAACTACAATCACACACTGTCCCTTTAAGAGTCAATCTGAATCAATGCAGCTCAGGTCAGAAAGAGGGAGTACTAGTAGTACTAGTACTAGTACTAGTAGTAGTAGTAGTAGTAGTAGTAGGACTGGGTAGTGGAGTTTGCTGCACTGAGGGAATACGGATCCTCACGTTTGAACACGTTAACTAACTATTTTAGTTTCATCCATTCGATGACTCGTCACCTTTGACCCTCACAGTGATGATGTAATGCTCCACACACTGAGGGCTCTGAGATGTGACACAAGGACACTGTCCCCAGTCAAACCTCAAGGTTTGTATTCCCTTCACACAGAATAAAGTCCCCTTTAATGTGTTTGTACTTGCGTCATACTATGTTCACGTGAACTAACATCTCCAACTGCAGAAGACAACGTTTGTCCCACTTTTATTGCACGTCTGCGTTGTCTTCCGGTGCCTGTGCAGCGTTGGTCGGCGTGGTCGGGCCTCCTCCTGCGTCCCGTCTGACTCCAGGGGCTCATTTCTCTCCTTTTCTTTCCTCGGCGGAACGTTGCTGTGTGACTCGACACTAAACTCTGACTTCAATGGCTTCTTTTATAGCAGCAACTTCCTTAATGGCCATGACATCATCTGGCTGAGCCCCCCCCCCCTCCTGCTTTACTGCACACACAAAGAGAATGCAGTTCCCCCAGGCCTCCATTGCCTCATTGTGTAATGGTGGAAAAACTGACAGACAGCCCCCCCCTTCCTCCCCCCTGTGTACTCGTTTCACAATAAACGTCCCACGTGACTCTGGAGGTGCCGGCCGTCCTGCAGGGCCCATGTGTTTCATCAAAGGTTTGCAGAAGCAACCTTTCTTTCATTCTATCTTCAGTTAGCCAGGTTACCTGGTTACCTGGTTACCAGGTTACCTGTGAGTCCACACTACGCTATAAAAACAAGACTGCGACCTTTCCCGGACTATGAGCTCTGTCCTAGTCTCAACTTCCCCACACATCTTAATTCTGATAAAAACCACGTTGTCAGTTTGCATGAACACAATCTGCACAACGTGTCGAATCCAACGTAATAGTGAGTCACGAACATCTGTGCTTCCTGGTTATTGGCTGAAGCCTTTTGAAGGCAAAGTGTCGTCCTCTTTGGGGATTTTGCACTGGTTTCAGGCAGCGACGATGATCTCACCGCACCACCGTAGCTCATCATCTTCAGTCCATCCTGTTGCTCCTGATCACAAATCACACGGATGTGCAGGAGCTGAAGGTCGCGTCTGCTGTGCGTCTCCAGCGGGTCTGACCTCACGTCATTGGCTCGTTCGCTCCGGGCTCTCGGTCTGAGATGCCAAAGGTTTGAGGAGCTGGCTGGTCGACATGTTGCATCGATTAATCGTGTTTTTGCGTCACTGCCTTTGCACCACAAAAAGCTAATAGCTTGCATGCTTTATGTTTTCTCCTCCTAACGAGAACCAAGAAGGTTGTTTTCTCTCTTCCCGATGCTGCTGCAGAACTCGTTGTGTGCAAAGTTCAGCATCTGACTAAAGCACTTTACCTGGAAGCAGACGCAAAGGTCAAGGTGACGTGGTGGTGACCCCCACCCCTATTTTACAAAGTTCTTATTCAAATTTCCTCCAGACCGCCGCGGGTTTGATGAAGTTCTGGCTGCTCTCCATGACGGGTTCTCTCTCTTTCCATCTGCCTCCTCCTCCTCCTCCTCCATCCCTCTGAAATGAAGAACAGCACAGCAGCTGGCCAGAGCTCCAGATGTGCTTGGACAATAAGCAAAGGGGGTTTCTGTCATCCAGCCCCTCTCACTGGAAACATGAGCGCTCAATGAGCTCAGAGGAGAACAGCTTCTTGTTTCCCTTCGCTTGTCGTAAAGTCTACGTGAAGAAATGACCCACTTTCCACACACGCTTTATCATCATTACGAGAAATGAATGGACGGTTGTGCCTTCAATCCTTCCGTTCTTCTCTCATGTTGGTCATAATGAAGCTTAATTAATGAATGAGTTCTGCCACCTCAATGGTCCTCGATCCACGTAGCCGTGGTTCTGCACCAACCTTCTCCAAAACCTTCAAAGCCAATGTGGCTTCATCCTCTCATTTCATCCGCCTCTCTCCACAAACCTCTGTGCACTCTTAGTCCCACTGGTTCTGCAGTAGCTCCATGGGAGGAACATCTGGTGGAATGACTGCAGAAGAAGAGGAGAGGAGGCGGTTCTGGCAGGAGAGGAGTGCTCTCCATTGTTGTAGTGAGTGTTCAACCAGGTGTCGGATACTTTCTGCCTCTGATGGACGGAGGAGGAGGAGGAGGAGGGAGACATGACTTCATCCTCGTCATCACACTCAAGTGGATTCATTTAACTTCTTTTGTTCACGTGTCTGACTGAGATGTTTAATCTGTCATCGGTCAAACCAACAGCAGGTCAAAGGCTCCCACGCGTGTCGGGATTAACACGTTACCAATGTTTCTATTCGTCGGGACCATGCGGCTGAGATAAAGGAGGAGAATATGAACAGTAACGCAGGAAGTCGAGCCGCGTGGAGACGGATGACCGCTCGGCCTTAACGGGAGGGTGCCAGCGAGGTGCCGCACGCAGGCCCCCCCCCGGGGGGTCTTTTTTTGTGGGGGGTTTAAGCTAACGGCCGGTTGGCCTCCGTGTTGGTTGCAGCGTGACGGCGGAGCGCAGCCAGGAGGACGCCGAGGAGGCGGAGCGGGAGAGGAGGAGGAGAGCCAGGGAGACGCAGAGAGGAGAGGGGGGGGGGCCCTCCTCCCGGCGGGACCCCGGCCAAGGCGACGGGCTCACGGCACGCAGCGCAGAGTGAGTACCACCCCCCCTTTTATCCTCCGGTGCAGCAACGCTTGCTAATTTCCGCTCTTAGTTTGACGCACGTTGTCTCTTCAAAATAAACTTCCGCCTTCACAGGAAACATTCTGATAATAGTTACTTCTTGTGACCCCTCCACCTCCACCTCCACCTGCACCTCCACCTTCATGACTGTGTGTATTTCTTACCAAATAACCGTAGAACTGCTGATAATGCGTCTGCATCATCTCACTGCTTTATTGTTGTGAATGCAGCAGGAGACCAGCCTGAACAGATCAACTGTTTATACATGATGCATCTTCCACGTCCTCGGCAGTTCGTAGGAATCCAAAAAGCAGTTTCCTGAAATGGAATAAATGTTTTAAAATGTAACTGGGCTCAGCTGGGACCGAAGTCGTCCCGTCCTTTTCTCTTGAGTTCGCCGGCCGGTGGGTTTGTGTTTGAACTTGCCCCGATGTTTCCAGCTGAGTGCCTCTCGGCCTCAGCGCTGATTAACGGGAAAGAGGCCGCTGAGGCCGCAGGTGAGCGAGGCGCCGCCAGCTTGCTCAGTCAGGTAGGTGTCGTCTCTCCAGGGGGGGGGAGTCCTCTCTGCACTGTGAGGTCACATGAGGGTCACATGAGGGTCGCCCCGGGGGAACACGCTGAAACTCAGCAGCAAGCGTTCATCTCTGGACGTTTGTCATTGAAGAGAAAATGTGTTGCTGGTGCTGATACACTCACAGGCTCGTTACCCTGTCTGATAAATCCCCGGAATTTAATGAAAGCAAAACCCATTTAGAAACAGTTGAATGTCTTATCCAATAAAAAACAGCTTATAGGTGTTTGGTTGGTGCTGATGATGTGAGTGGACCCCAGTGCATCTCTGTTTATTGTTTCCATGGACACCAGCTCCGTTGCTATTAATCTCCAAGCGGCACGTCTGTGTCAACGCCATGTGGGAAACCTGTTGGTGAGGCCCTGGTTTGCCTGCAGCGCCAGGAGACAAACTCTGGCACCGTGTGCAGAAGCATATTCATCGTTCAGATCCACATTTAGCAAACAAGATGCAGGAGAGGACAGAAATGATGGCAGTGGTCCCACTGGTTCTGAAGACGGGGATCAAAGCTTCACGTGTTATGGCTGCATTCTCTTTAGTGACCAGCAGGGGGCGACTCCTCTGATCCCATAGAAGTCTACGAGAAAATGACTCTCGCTTGATTTATTCCCCCAGTAAACATTATAAACATGCGTTTTTGGTCTTAATAGTTTCAAGTTTCAAGCTTCTTCAATATAGCATGATGTTTATTTAGTATATGATGGTCCATGCAGAGTCAAACAGACCATAAAGGAGGGTGCTTTAGGGCGGGGCTACACATTTATTGTTGTAGCCATGGTTGTTGCCATGGTGTTGTGCCATCTGGTCCTTGTTTCCTTCTGATAACTTTAACCATTTCAAAGTATTTTTCCACATCTATAATTTAATTGTCTCTGAGTTGTTTAAGTACCTGCTGAGATGCCTCTAAAGTTCCTTCAATCATCTGAACCACTAAAACGTCAACGTTTCTTTAAAACCAAACCTCCAACCATTCGCTTGGCTCCACTTCCTGTCAGGTTCTCCGCTTGGTTCTCTTCAGGTTGGACGTGGAGCTGAAGCCCAGATGCAACCAGGAGGAGGACGAGGGCTTCAGCGACTGGAGCCACAGGTTGGAGAACCGCGGTGAGCAGGAGGTGCAAGACTTCCCCAGGAGACCTTTAACCAGGCGCAAACCAGAGCCCGGAGTGGACGGCAAACGGCAGAAGGGTGAAGAGGAGGAGGAGAAAGAGGAGGAGGAGGGATGCGAGCCAGAGAGGAGCAGTCGTTCAAAGGAAGCTTCCTCAAGACCTCCAGAGAAGGTGAAGCATCCAACAGATCAAAGCAGAACAACACCGGGGGTTTAGCTGGAGAAACAATTCACATCCTACACAGAGGGTGAGAGTGGTTAGCATTATAGCTCCTCTTCACTGTGAGCAGCATGTTTAAGTTAGCATCCTGCTGCTGTGTCCAGTACAACATCAAGATGCAAGAGGCAATAATGTGTTTCCACTTTTGATCTGCTCTTAAAGCGCAAGTCTATAAAACAGAACAACTCAAAAAACAAAGAGATTTTTGGAACAATCAGTGAGCATAATTGATCAATGATGATTGATTGATTGATTGCTCCAACAAGTGTGACAGAACTACGTACACTCCGCGTTGCCCCTGTAGAGACGTCACTTTGCTCTCGCTTGGTTTTCAGATGACCTGCGACAGAGAGGAGGTCAGGATGTCCTACAGCTCCACGGTCTTCCTGTCCCAGGACACCCGGCCGCAGCACACCGACAGGACGTCCTACCTGCTGGCGGGGACCATGAGGCCTCGGTGCGCCGTGCTGTAGATTGGTTCAGACCACTAAGCCCTGTTGATTGGTTCAGACCACTAAGCCCTGTTGATTGGTTCAGACCATTAAGCCCTGTTGATTGGTTCAGACCATTAAGCCCTGTTGATTGGTTCAGACCGCTAAGCCCTGTTGATTGGTTAAGCCCTGTTGGTTGGTCGAGACCATTAAGCCCTGTTGATTGGTTCAGACCGCTAAGCCCTGTTGATTGGTTCAGACCGCTAAACCCTGTTGATTGGTTCAGACCACTAAGCCCTGTTGATTGGTTCAGACCGCTAAACCATGTTGATTGGTTCAGACCGCTAAACCCTGTTGATTGGTTCAGACCGCTAAACCCTGTTGATTGGTTCAGACCATTAAGCCCTGTTGATTGGTTCAGACCATTAAGCCCTGTTGATTGGTTCAGACCGCTAAGCCCTGTTGATTGGTTCAGACCGCTAAGCCCTGTTGATTGGTTCAGACCATTAAGCCCTGTTGATTGGTTCAGACCGCTAAGCCCTGTTGGTTGGTTCAGACCATTAAGCCCTGTTGATTGGTTCAGACCGCTAAACCCTGTTGATTGGTTCAGACCATTAAGCCCTGTTGATTGGTTCAGACCGCTAAGCCCTGTTGATTGGTTCAGACCATTAAGCCCTGTTGATTGGTTCAGACCGCTAAGCCCTGTTGATTGGTTCAGACCACTAAGCCCTGTTGATTGGTTCAGACCACTAAGCCCTGTTGATTGGTTCAGACCATTAAGCCCTGTTGATTGGTTCAGACCGCTAAACCCTGTTGATTGGTTCAGACTAGGGTTGCCAAATTCCAGGAATATTCAAAGTTGGAAACTTTCCACGGGAATTAACAGGAATAAACTGGAAATTTGGGGGTAATTTAACTGTATTTACCTTGTCATAAGCAAACATGCATGCAAACGTGACTTTCTAACATTAGCACGTTAGCCTACGTTAGATAACCTAACGTTCTTTCAGCGCACCAACGGCACACATTATCATCTACGCATCTTAAAAGACAGAGTGAAAATATTTTTTGGGGATTCTTTCACCCTAAAAATATCTCGAGTCCACCTGACTGACAGGACATCAAGGTAGTAAGACAGCTATCTCCAGTCTCCCACTCAGGTCACCTCAACATGGTACATTGAGCTTTTCTCCATCGATGAGCTGTCAGCTTCAGCTTCGCTGTCAGCAAAAATTCCCAACTGAAAATTCCCGTGGAAACTTTCCGGATATTTACCCGGAAACTTTGCGAGCTTGTAGTTCAGACACAAACTGTCGGCTCAGTGGTCTGAACTTGAGTTATTGAAGACGTTTGTCCTTAATCTCACCAAAGTCCTTTTGTTGACGCGACATGAAGTCAGCCCAAAAGAAAAAGACTAATCAACAAGTTAAAACACCTCCTCCACAGCAGAGGCGCCTGCAGGGTGGATGGGGAGCTGGAGCGGGAGGAGCAGAAGGAGGAGGTGCAGGCTGCTCTGCAGAGGGAGTCAACAGAAACCCAACGGAGCTCCAGAGATGAAGAAGATCATGAAGAAGAGCTGAGCTTCAGGCGTGAAGAGGAGGAATGCCAGTATCTGCGAGGGGAGCAGGAGGAGGAGGAAGAGGAGGAGGAGGAGCACAGGATGCCAGACACGGTTTGCTTTAAAATAATACTTCTAACACTACTTACTAGTACCCGAGATGTTCAGATGTTCATGGTCCCACAGGATGAAACTCCACAGTCACATCATGATATGTTGATAGACGCCAGATACAAGAGAATTTAATAATGATATTTCAACATGGAATCAGAATCCTCAGGCTGAGCTGTCATTCATCATTTCCATTTGACACGTTGAGCACAAGCAGATTTCTTTCTGTTTACATTCAGCTGCTCACCAAAACACACCAAACACCTTGTATCCATTTGCAGTTCTTTGTGTGGGACTCAATCAACAGGAACGTGTGTGAAGCTGCTTTGTGATCCTCGACCACCCAAACAGGCAGCCTCTCTATTCACCCGACAGAATTAGTAACATTGTAAAACTATTTACTAGCACACTGTTTTATTTAACAGCTATATTATTGTCCGGTTCATATTTGTTGTTTGAATCTTTTCTACTTGTTGAAGGCCGAACTCCATTTTCCTTCTTTCCATTTTGACATTCAATCAAATGCTTGCATGAAGACTCATAGATTTTCTGCTTGGACGTAATAAAAGTCAAAGAATGCAGCTCTGACGTCAGATGCTGTAACAGATTCCTGCTTTTAGCTCCACTGTTTTATTAGTGTTTCGCCTCCAAGTGACGAGTCTGAAAGTAAAGTGAAGCTGTCGACTTTCAGTCCGCAACACGATCCCCTAAAGCAACGCAGACCAACCGCTCACCTGAAACGTGATCTCTGTTGTAGAGCTGGATGGAGAGCAGCAGGGGGGAGGAGGCCCGCGGGAGTGAGGAGGCGAGGAGTGAGGAGGCCAGCAGGAGGAGCGAGGAGGCCAGCAAGAGGAGCAAGGAGGCAAAGAGTGAGAAGGGCAGCAGGAGGAGCGAGGAAGCCAGCAAGAGGAGCAAGGAGCCAATGAGTGAGGAGGCCAGCAGTAGGAGCGAGGAGGCGAAGAGGGAGGAGGCCAGCAAGAGGAGCAAGGAGGCAAAGAGTGAGGAGGCCCGCAGGAGGAGTGAGGAGGCCAGCAGGAGTGAGGAGGCGAGGAGGCAGGAGGCCAGCAGGAGGAGTGAGGAGGCCAGCAGGAGGAGCGAGGAGGCGAGGAGTGAGGAGGCCAGCAGGAGTGAGGAGGCGAGGAGTGAGGAAGCCAGCAGGAGGAGCGAGGAGGCGAGGAGTGAGGAGGCCAGCAGGAGGAGCGAGGAGCCGAGGAGTGAGGAGGCCCGCAGGAGATCTGCGGCCTCCCTTTGCTGCAGCAGCGATGGCGAGGAGTCGTTAAACTACGCCCCCATGAGCCCCACGTTCAAGGTATCTCATCAATCCAAAGGGGGGCGGGGGGTCAATTAGGTCCCCTGGGGGGGGGGATGCCTGTCTGCTTCTGTCACATGTTTCCTTCTCCAAGCTGAAGGAGGAACGGCCCCAAAGCGGCCTTTAACAGCCTCTAAGCTCCTCCCCTCTTGGTCAATCTGGGTTGACTATTATACGCACTGACCTCACTCTGCCGAACCAGATGTTTCTGCCTATCCAGAGACATCTGGTTCTAAGCTAATGACAGACCTACCATTAGTAATAATGGGTCATTAAAACAAATGAATGTTGTGGTTAATCAATGTTTGTTTTTCTTGAGTAATGAGTCACTTTAGAAAACGTGTATTTTAGACATTGTTGTTTAATTTATTTTAAAACACAAAACTACACACATTTGATCAGGATCAGGAAACATTTACTGCCATAATCTGTCAGACATACAAGGAATTTGACTTGGCGGTTGGTGCGTAACAGCAGACAGTACGACAATACGACAAGACAACAGTGCAAGAGGAATAAAATAAGATATAATGCTATGGGTTAGTAGTATAATATGATGCTATGGGTTAGTGGTATAATATGATGCTATGGGTTAGTAGTATAATGCTATGGGTTAGTAGTATAATATGATGCAATGGGTTAGTGGTATAATATGATGCTATGGGTTAGTAGTACAATATAATGCTATGGGTTAGTAGTACTAATTTAATGCTATGGGTTAGTAGTATAATCGTATCTATAATGCTATGGGTTAGTAGTATAATATAATGCTATGGGTTAGTAGTACAATAAAATGCTATGTGTTAGTAGTATAATATAATGCTATGGGTTAGTAGTACAATATAATGCTATGGGTTAGTAGTATAATCGTATCTATAATGCTATGGGTTAGTAGTATAATATAATGCTATGGGTTAGTAGTATAATGCTATGGGTTAGTAATATAATTCTATGGGTTAGTAGTATAGTGCTATGGGTTAGTAGTATAGTCTTATGGGTTAGTAGTATAGTGCTATGGGTTAGTAGTATAGTCTTATGGGTTAGTAATATAATGCTATGGGTTAGTAGTATAATGCTATGGGTTAGTAATATAATGCTATGGGTTAGTAGTATAATGCTATGGGTTAGTAGTATAATCCTATCTATAATGCTATGGGTTAGTAGTATAATATAATGCTATGGGTTAGTAGTATAATGCTATGGGTTAGTAATATAATTCTATGGGTTAGTAGTATAGTGCTATGGGTTAGTAGTATAGTCTTATGGGTTAGTAATATAATGCTATGGGTTAGTAGTATAGTGCTATGGGTTAGTAATATAATGCTATGTGTTAGTAGTATAGTGCTATGGGTTAGTAGTATAGTGCTATGGGTTAGTAGTATAGTCTAATGGGTTAGTAGTATAGTCTTATGGGGTAGTAGTATAGTGCTATGGGTTAGTAGTATAGTGCTATGGGTTAGTAGTATAGTCTAATGGGTTAGTAGTATAGTGCTATGGGTTAGTAGTATAGTATAATGGGTTAGTAGTATAGTGCTATGGGTTAGTAGTATAGTCTAATGGGTTAGTAGTATAGTGCTATGGGTTAGTAATATAATGCTATGTGTTAGTAGTATAGTGCTATGGGTTAGTAGTATAATGCTATGTGTTAGTAGTATAGTGCTATGGGTTAGTAGTATAGTGCTATGGGTTTGTATTATAGTCTAATGGGTTTGTATTATATTCTTATGGGGTAGTAGTATAGTGCTATGGGTTAGTACTATAGTCTAATGGGTTAGTAGTATAGTGCTATGGGTTAGTAGTATAGTCTAATGGGTTAGTAGTATAGTGCTATGGGTTAGTAGTATAGTGCTATGGGTTAGTAGTATAGTGCGGCCTGGTCCTCTCCGATTGTGATGTGGATGGAACAACACCAGCTTCTTCCATTTGCTACAAAACCCCGCGAGTGATGATGTCACAGACTGGTTACGAATGTGGCGTCGTGCTAACCGCGCTGTGTCTCCTTGTCGCTCCTCCAGAAACTCCTGATCCAGTTCTACCCGGTAAGCCCTGACCTGAGATCAGTGCCGCCCGGTGTGAGAGACGGAGTCTGCAGTGATCTGTGTGTCTTTGCAGGACGAGGTGAACAGCAGAGTCTCAACAGACGGTAAATGCTCGGTGAGTGAGGTCAGGGGTCAAAGGTCAGATGCTGATGCAATAGGATGAGAGAAGAAGTCGTCTCGGTATTTCTGTTATTTAGAGCTGCAGCCGTTCATCGATTAGCCTTCAACTGAATTATTATTATAAATATCTAAAGGAAAAAGTCTAAATTACCTGATCACATCGTTCTATATTACTGGTATCTTTGACCCTTTAAACATTAACATGAATCATCATTATTTATGAACGAACCAATCATTTCAGAAACACCTTTTTTAGCAATTTTCTTAGCAAATACGCATTAGATGCAGCAATAATTAATGTAATGTATAATGTATGTATTTTATTATTACTTTTTCTTTATGACTTTCATTAGTCAAATGTCGACCCTTTGTCAACACTTTTTTGAATCCTGTTTACATTTGTGGAATATTATCGTTATTGTTATTGTAGATGGTTATAATAATAAAAATACTTTTATTCTAAGCGCAACCGAGTGACCGGCGTCTTCCCCGTCTGCTGGATGATGCAGCAGATGATGCTCATGTGACGGATTACAGAGTCTGCTGAAACGCTCTGTTTATTTTCTCTCTTCAGGCTCGTGGGTTTTTCTCAAACCATGAAGGGAAGAAGCTGTGCCTGTTTCTTCCTCTGTGTTTGCAGTGTTTAACCAGCAAATGTCTTCCTTCTTCTCCTCAGATCATAGAGAGGACCGAGTCTCTGAGGAAAAGGTCAGTCAGGGGGAAACAGCAAGTGCAGAGGAGCTCAGATGAAAACAACCTGCTTGGATGAAGCTCGTTCATTATTCTAACAGACGTGTACGTTTCTCCATTCTTCTGAAGCACCAGTCACATCAAGAAGACTCCGTCCCCGGTTGTCGTCTCGAAGATTGACAAGAAATTGGAGCTGTACGCACAAGCTCTCGAGGTAAAAAGGCCTCCTCCTTTTCTCCTCTTTTGGAAAACGAGGAGAACTGACGCCCGAGCGTCCTGATCCCCACTTAGGTCTCCACGAAGGACGGCCGGCCGGGGGCTCAGACGCCGACGGACCTGACGAGTCCCGCCGAGCGCGTCTCCTCCAAGAAGAGCCTGTTTGAGCCCGGAGACACCCGGAGACACAACGCCCCCCCGGGCTCCCCATCGAAGGTCAACCATAGGTCAACGGATCGCCGTCTACCTCGGCTCCTGCATGTTGATGTATCTTCTTCTCTTCTCCGGCGCAGGATGCAGACGGTTTGAAAGTGGGTGTGGCTAATCTCATCAATCAGTGGGTGGGAGGGAGCGAAGGCGGGAGCAGGTGCAGCTCGTCTTGCAGACCAGCGGTAAGGCTGCACACCACGGGTTCCTCCGGTTGGAGCTTCCTCTCTGCTACCACAGCTAGCGTTTCTTCACCTGCTGTGAAACATCTCAGCAGTCAGGGAAGGCCCGCCTCCTTCTGGCTGCATTTAGAATAATGCTTAAAGCCAAGGACTCATTTAACACGTCTAAAGCTGCAAACTGCTTCCTTCATCTTGTGAATGAGTGAAGGGGAGGATTCCCCGTGCACGTTGAAAGTGGAGCTGATGAGATCACGCTGAAGTCACACGTTTTATCGGCTGAGTTTCAGGAGAACTTCTCCGGGAAAAGGTTCAAGTTCGTGGTGACGGGTCACGGAAAGTACGAGAAGGTTCCTGTGGAGGACTGCAGAGAGGAGGCCCACTGCCCGCCAGGTGAGACCATTCACTCCTCTCATCCGCTCATTAATTCACTTATCCACTCATTCATTGATTCATTCGCTCATTTAGTGGTTCATTCATTTACTCATTCATGAATTCATCCATGCATTTGTGCATTCAATTGATTGATTCACTCATTCATTAGTTCATTCATTCAGTCATCCATTCATCCATATATTCCCTTATTCATTGATTCATTAAATCATTCATTGATTTCTAGTCTGTAATGTTTAAATTCTAACATGTTTGAATATATTTCTGTTTTGAATTGTTTAAAACAAATAAAAGAATTTTTAACAAATTAAAATTCTACTTTTACTAAACAAATTCAGTAGTTAAAACTTCCTCAGCGATTTGATTAATTGTTTTTCTGCAGCTCGTTCTCACTTTACTTTGAACTTGATATCATAATCTTTCATTCGTCTGAGGAAAAGTTAAGAATATATGAGACTGGAACTGTCTTTGTCTTGAACAATATTCATGCTTTCTATTGAAATGTGTCCTTTTATTTCGGACCCGCTGGGAGGACTTCACGTCTTCAGCGGGAGCGAGAGGCTTTGAGCCACACAGAGTTTTTATTGGTGCTCTTGATGATGATTCAATCATTCAAATACACAAAACGTTTGACTTCTTTTGAAACATTTTTTTAAGGAGCCAATCCTGATATAAAGAAGTGAGAAGCACAAGACAAGAACTTCACGTTCACCTTTATGCCTCGTTGAGAATCACAGTGAGAAAAAAACATGTTTAAACTCCTGAAATAGAGACAAAAAGGTTCAAAATATCAACAACAACAACATGCAAACATATTTTTACGGCAGCACTAATATTCTCCAAAGCTGTGAAACATCACAAGACCATGAGCTTCTCATCCAGGTATCGATCCATCTGCTCTTACTGCAGGCATCTTCGTCATGTATTCACAAGTCTTTGGTCTACATCCTGGTTACATTATGAACTCCGTGACTTTGTTCAGGAGTTCAGGCTGATCCACCTCAAGGCAACAAAACACCACTGTTTGGAAATGTTTTGTATCATTATCATCATTGTTGGAAAATAATGGATCCTTCACAGTTGACCAACAAAGACGACATTTCACTGATAAACAGTCCATCTTCATACAACCCTGGTGGCAAAAATAATCCTATTTTAGGCGCGACTCAGCTGAGATGTCCTCACAATAACTAGTAACCAAAGTTCTCACTGTGACAATGCCCACATGCTAAAGTACAACCAGTAACGCTTACCATGTGTAGGCACACTAACGTTTTGTAATTAAGTACAGCTCGGTCCACATTGCAAAGCCTTCAGAGGTACCAGCCCGTGTGCTTCTCCTCTTTCTCTTCCTGCTTCCTTTCCAACCATCCAGACTTCCAGAACCCTAAATCCGCTGCGACCTGACTCGACCCCAGCTGGGTCTTTCCTTCTTTGAAAACCCATCTGCCCTGTTCCTCCAGGAATGTAAAAGCCCTATCCATTACAGATATCACAAACTGCCTTGTAGCGGTGAACACTAAAAGCCTCTTTAGAAAAATAGAAAAAGGTAGGACATGTCAAATTAAGCAATCGTCTCTCTGTCGAAGCATCTAGAGTCCTCGCATTCAAAGCTACATTCAGACTATCGTCAAATGGAAGATGGAGACTCTAACAGAGTAGTTGCTCAGCAATGTTCTCCTCTTTCGTCGCCTTATTTAGCAGCTGAGTTATTGACGTATACCTTCTAAATAACCAAAACTGGTGAAAATATCAGAAATATACTATATAAGTACTTTTCTGAGCAAGTAATCAATTACACTAATCTACCTTCTCACTGCAGGACTGATTTCTAATTATCAAATAAATCCCCCCCCCCCCCCCTCCACCCACGTATTGTCACTCATCACAAATATACTTCTTCATCAGTTCAGTTATCTGTAGTTTTCTTTGGACCGAATCCTTTCGCCTTCCTGTTGAAGTCCTTGTGTTCGTCTTCCTGTGATTTGCGCTTGATCAGCCCCTTCTCGAACACCGCGGATATCTTCGAGAGCGGCTTCTCCGCCGCCTCCTTCAGCTTCCTGGCATCAAACCGGGGGCTGTACAACAAAATCGGCAGGCGACTGACAAAAGAAGGAACTTCCCCTTGATTGTCTTTAGGTACCTTTTTCCTCTCCGGTTCCTTCTTGTTGGCGTTGATCTGGTGCATGATTCGGTCTTTAGTGGAGAACATCTGAAAGAGGAGGACGTCCCACATCTTAAACCCCTTGGGACCCTCCTTGTCGTCCAGCACTTCCTGAAAAGCACATTGGTCTGCCGATGACTCATCGCCGCCTCGATCCGTTCTCCCGCAGCTGGAATGGACCTGAGGTTCGGCCTTCGGCTCCGGAAACGACAGTTCGTCCGGCTCGACGACCATGTGTTTCTTGAGCCGGGTCCATCCGCTGAGCTTCCCCTTGAGGCCTTTCGGCTTCTGGGCCGCTTTGTGCTCAGTGGACGGCCGGCATGTCCCCGCCGCCACGACTTTCTCGTCAGCAGTTGAAGATGCAGTTGATGTCGCTGACTTCCTGGAGGGTTCGAACGCCGGGGCCGCCGTCGGCGGGGCCGTTGGTTCCTTTGCCTTGCCTTTGAGTCCAGTTTTTCGCTGAGATGGCGGTGATTGTCCTCTGTTTGGGGATGGAGGTTTGACTGAGACTGAGGCCTGAGGCAGAGGGGCAGGAGCGACAGGGTCAATCACAGCGGCGCAATTCTATGGACGGTTTCATGACAGTGTCTATTGCTGGCTTTGAAGGGGACACATTCTCAACAGGTAGCTCAGTCCAAGTCTGAACGTTATTGGCGCGCGGGCTAATCTTGTCTGGATCAGGAGAAGACTTTGAGGAATCTGTTTTTTTAACTGGGGGTTCTGCCTCTACAGGTCTTGATTCTACCTGCTGTGTGGGAGGTTTTGCTTTCAGGGAAGGTTTACTGGTTATAACAGGATCGTCCGATTGGATTCGATCGGTAGTTTCAGCATTCAGCGAGGAGACTTTCCCCCCCTTACTGGAATCTGTTCCTACGTTTGGTTTTATCTTTTTCATTTGGAAAAGTACTTCTGCACTGTTAGCCAAGACGTAGGGATCTTTAGCGAGGGTCGGCTTTAAAATGTTCTCTGGGATCGACTTAGCAGAGGCCTCTATGGTGCTAATTGGTGTTTTCGTTTGAAGAAGTGGAATGGGATCGTTTGTCTGCTCTTTAAGAGAAGCGTTTTCTGCAGTATTGTTTAAAGGGACCGGAGTCGGAGGAGACTGGGGTAAGCTTGGAGTAAAGCTCTGAGTAGGTGTGTTACGCAGTCTTGCCTCTGGTCGAGGGGAGGCTCGTGTTGAGCTCCAGGGTTGAGTTACTCCTGGAGGGATGAGTGGGCCTTTAGCATCTCCCGTAGCGTAAACAATAGCTTGAATGTTTGTGGTGGTGTGGTTGTTTAAATGAGTGTGCTTGACGGTACTGAAGGTGTGAGTATTAGTTTCTCTAGATTTGTTAGTTTCACTGATCGATTCCCTAAATTGTTTCACTCCAGCCTGAGAGTTCACTGGAGTAACAGAGGTTAGAGCTTTATCTCCAGACAACGTCCTCTGACTTGCAATTCTTTGCTGTTCTACAGTGTGAGCCGTGACGCAACCAGAAGAAGAGGACACGTTTCCCTCGGTCGTAGACATTATGAAATGTTTTGCCCCTGTAGCGAGACTTGCTACAGATTCATTCACTACAATTGGCTGAACAAAAGGGGATTGTTCTTTTACGGTGGATTTAGTTTTACTCTGTGATGCAGATGTCCCAGATGATCTACACTCCGCAAGAACGTTGCGGATCTGTCCATCATCTGCTTTTGAGTTTGTGTAGATTCTTGTTTGAGCAACACTGCCACACACAGATTTTGCACTGATGTGCGTTTTTGCTGCCGGTAGACTCTCTGTTCTGTCTGATCTCAGCTGAGGGCTTTTAAGTGTGACGTGATCAAATGATGGTTGAACGCTCACGTCTTGGTCTGTCATCGTAGGCTTAATGGATTCTGTATTAGGCTTGCTGTGGACTTGAATATTGATGCCTGAATTGGATTTGTTGGACTGCGCAATTTCTGCAACATGTCTGACGTGTTGAGCGGTCTCTAAACCTCCTGGTTGTCCAGGTGATGCCGAGTCGGTGTACGACTTGCAGTCTGTTATCAATCCTGCAGGCGTGTTCAGCTGTGTCATATCTGCACTGGGGCTCTCTGTGGATTTGAATAATATGACTCTTGCATTGTTCAGTTGTGATTCTGTGTGTCGTGCTGGGTAGCTCACTCCGGTAGGGTCGATATTATCGTAAGTGGGGAGCTTCACTTCTGCATCAACTACTTTAGTTCTTCTTGAGTTTTTGTAGAAATGTGCTGCTTGAACACTTTTCTCTCGGCCACCAGATAACATGCTACTCTGTGTGTTTGGATGTACATTCTCAATAGTTTTGGTGAGCTTTTGGGCTCCTTTTGTGGACACAGTGGAGGTCATGTCTGGAGGGAATTTATTGCCGTAAAGTTGGGTGACTTGCTTCTAGTGACTAAACGGTCAGGTATTTTGGTTTCTGTGCCAGGTTTGCCCACTAAGTTACAATCAACAGCAGGTGTTTGTGGTGCACTTGGTTTTTGAAAAGTTGGGAAAGTTAAGCTTCTTCCTGGAAAATGGGTCTTGTGTCCTACAGTTTGCCTATTCCTGGGAATTTTAATTTCAGTGTGAAGCTGTTGCATAAATGTTGTGCTTTGGACAGCTGCATAGGCTGTGCTGAGACTACAGTGTGCAGAACATACAGATGCTGTGACAGGCTCGTATTGCAAAACAGATCCTGTGTTAGCGATTAATTCGGAGTTACATGACATAGAAGGCAAAATGGTTCCTGTGTTTGTTTTACTTAGTTGAGTAACTTCTTTACTTTGTTCATTTAAATTGCCTTCAGCAGGCCGTGGGGTTTCAGAAACCAGTTTGACAGCTTGCTGGATTCCTGAAATGAATCCTTCATTTCTTATGGCATCCCACAGTAATTTGGGCTCGTGATCTGTGGCAGAAGACGGAACAACCATCTTTTTATGGTCAACCAGGTCTTTAAGAGGCTTGGCGGCGTGCTGGACATTGAGGCTATTGGCTGTTGATGGACTGACTCCACCGGGCGTTTGGACAGACTGAACCAGAGATCTCTGTGGTTGTCCTGACTGGTTTGTGGCACTGATGACTTTGGATTTTTCTTTTGTAGTTGTTTTCTCAAGATTAGAACCTTTCTCTATCTCTTCTAAACTATGCTGATTTTTAACATTTGGTTTTACTTTGACTGAGGCTGACGAGCTATTCATCTGATTATTGCTATCATTCAGGCGAGTCGTATTTTGTGCTGCCTCTATAGAAAATAGTGCCACACTTTGTGTGTTTGCCTCACCTGCTTTAGACATTGATATTGGATCCTCAGAGTATGAGGCTTTTGGGGTGGATACATCACTTGTGGATTGCTGCATTGTGTTCTCTGACAAGCCAATGGGAAGCTCTGGTTTTATTGTGTCCACGCTAGATGTTTTTACTGATTTGGTTCCAACACTTTGAGCTGCAGACTGAGTTTCCTCAAAAACTTCTTGGCTAGGAGTGACGATCCGCTCAGCCGGAAGCTCAAGATCCCCTTGGTGCTGTACGATTTTAGCACCAGTGAGCTCCATTGGGGACAGAAGATCTTGATGTCCATTGAGTTCTTGTGTTCCATCAGACCGGGACACGTTTAAAGCTATGCCGGTTTGGTTTGAAGAGGTTCCGTTAACCCTGGGGGGCGCAGGGCTGCGATGGGAAGCTTTAGTCCTTATCCCTCCGTAGGCAGCATACTCAGATGGAGTAAGCCCATAATATGTTGATCGTGATTTGGGTTTTGAGGTGGCTAATGACATTTGATTCTCCAATAGTGAGGACAAAGACTTGCGTGCATCCAGCGCCGGGGGGCGATGAGGGGACGGCCGGGGGCTCAGAGGTGCTTGAATGGAAATCACTGCCGTAGCGTCCAGATTTGAATTATTTGCCACAGTAGAAAGAAATGATGGGACTTTTGGCAAAGACGAAGCCTCACTTTCAGAAACCTGGCTAATTTGTAGCATTGGGATGACTGGTTCTATTGGTGCTGGTTTCACCGCAGCAGAGTCAAGTACAGTCACACTAGATGCTAAGTTTAGATTTATCGTACTCCGTTTTGTCTCTTCATAACCGCTGACTGGTTTGATAGCAGTAATGTGATGCACATCAGTCCTTTTTAGTTCCTGTTGGGCAGCTGGCAGTTTACTGGTAACACCGGTTTGAATCGTTGATTTCTGTCTTGGGCCTTCGTTTGTAATTGTAGGAGCTTGTGGCTCTTGGGAGGCCTTGAAAACAGCAAATAAAAGTGGGTTAGGTTTGGATATTTCAATGAAGGGCGTGGACACTCGAGCTGGTGCTGAAGAGGGAGTCTTAGGTCTTCCACATTGGGAGGTTGGCGAATTCCATTTCTGTTCAGCTTTCACCACTGAAACAGCGGTTTTCTTGTACTCGTCAGGTAGCAATGGCCACCGGCACGTACAGGTCCTGGATGGAGGGAGGTTTAGAGATCTCATAAAACGTTGCCTTTGACGTATAAACCCTGCTTTGTGCGGCGTCGGGCCTCGTCTCTTTAATGGGTTCAACAAGTGATATTTTTGAGGCGGTTATCTCAGGGGACATCGGGCTTGGGACAAAGTTGCCATTACTGCGGGTATGGCAGTCCAGGGCGCCGTTCGGCTTTGGCCGTTGCCCTTTGAACTGTCATCTGTCGCCCCCTGGCCGGGAACAAAGGGTTGTGTTTGAGAGTTTGGAACTGACAGCAGCGCTGGAAGAGGAGGTGGGTCGGAAACCTGAGAGGGAGCCATTCCTGGGCCACAGTTGGGGGCGGCCGCGCATAGGGTGAGGCTGTGAGTTGATATTTTAGGGCTGGACTGCGACACGGCTTCTAAAGGGACTGTCCTGACTGACCCGTGGGAATTTGGTGTCATGTTTGCGTGGAAAGCAGAGGGAAGAGTCGGTGCTAGAAGCCGCTCGGGTGGCGCCGAAACCAACGGTGGCAGCATGAAAGGACTGACGTCGTCGAATAGAAAAGAGGAGCACTCGTACAGCGGAGCCACCTGCTCTTCAGAAATCCTGACCCGGGCTGTGTGGGACGGGGGTGGGAAGCCGCCTGGGGGGCCGTAGGGGCTGCTCCGAGGGTGAGGGAATGCAGATTCAGGGCCATCATAGAGGGAGTCGAAGGGGAAACTGAACACCGTAGGGTCCGCAGTGTGGACCGAATCCGGCGTCGTCGGCGGGCTGGACTGGTCGCTGTGCTCCAGGTCCGTGCTCGCCTCGTTGACGGGCGACAGGCAGGAACGAAAGGGGACGGGCGTCTGAGAGAGGCTGCCCTTCTTCTTGGTTCTCTTCTTCTTGAGTTTCTGAAGCCTGGCGTTGTCTTTGCCCGGTTTGGGCGGTAAGGGCGGAGGATACTGCTGGGAGAGGTCGGGCTCCAGCCCGTTAACGTAGCCCACTTCCATCAGCATCTTCAGACCCCTGCAAGACAGAGACGAAACACATCAGTCCCGCTGCCTCCAGACGGAATTCGATTTATGTAATAACAGCAAAGCAGTAAATAGGAGGGCTGAAATGTAAAAGTCGGTTTCATCATAATTATAATCAAATGCTTATAATAACATTTGTGGTAAAACTGAGCCAAGGTCCAACAAATGTTTCCTGGAAAGGTCACACGTCATGTTGCCTGCCAAGGAATCAGAATATGAAGACGTCAGAGCAGATATTTGGCTCTGACGTCATGAGATATCTCAGCAGCTGGTCAAACAATTCCAGTTGGTATTACTATGGATATAACAGATAATTGACTGTTTATATCATCATATCATATATCATATGTATTTTCCTCCTTTTCAGCTGGACACTTCTACGAGGATCTGTGAAGCACATGCTGGACTTTGAAGGTTGAAGATGGTGGATTATGAAAACGTCAATGCTGCAGAAACCTCCGCTATCACTTCATCACTCTGCATTTCAAGCTTTATGTCGGAAATGTACTTAAATCCTTTTGTGAAACATATCTTCCTAACGGTAGTAAATAGATTTTTATTCTTTGCAGCTCTTCCTTTTCTCTTGTGGACAATAACCTCCGCAGTGGTAAATCTTTTCTTACAATGAGATAATAATTAAACATTTGAGTATTATGTGGATGTGCTGCAGTCCTTTGCTGTGTAGAAGAGCTCACGGAAGCTTCTGCTGTGTCCTTCTGCAGCCGCACTGATCTAACGGCCTCCGGACGAGCGGCCGACGTTAGAAAACTGAGCTCTCGTGACGATGGGCTCGTTGGAGGTGTTAAAACGCTTAATTGGGTCCTGAAGATGCTGCATGGCTACGAGCATGTTGGAAATAGAAAGGCATGTAAAGTGGCAAAGCTGCTTTGAAACGATGACAAACTACTTATGAGAATAGTCTCTCAAGGAGACAGTCGGATTTAAAAATGACCTCTGCAGGAAGTAAAAGGAAACCCGGAGGAGGATGAGTGACAGGTAGAGGAGGGGGACCAGGTTCGCAAAGGTCAAAGGTCTGAAGCAATGAATTAACGTGCCTTCATTTTTCTTACTATTATAATCGTAAGTCAAAAGGAAACGACAATGATTCTAATCACAAACACAACAACGAATAAGTCATAGATTTATTTCAGGCACCTAAACTCTTCTGCGTCTCATGTGTGACACCACAACCAGTTCCACAGCCTAACTTTAGCCCGCAGTGGGGGGGGGGCAACTGACACCGAGCACCTGCTGCTCGCCGTCCAGCATCCAGACCGGAAATCGATCCTCTCCGGGCCGACTGGGCTCTAATGCTCGTGTTTCACCTTTAATATTTCCTATTAGTCACGTTAGCGCCAGTCGGCTCTGAGATTATTGCACTATAGTTTGGTATCAAATCTGTAAATTACACAATTGCTTTTAAGTATAGAAGCTGCAACGCAAAAACACGCTACGAGAACTGTGGCTGCTGACTTCAAACGTAAACGATGTTTGGCGGGAACAGGAATCGCTGCCGTGAGTCGTGGGGACACACGAGAAGCCCCCCCACCGCCCCCCCCCACCTTTAAGGCCCTGCTTTGGAAACCTGGGAGGCTTCGACTGGAGCTCAAAAGAAGAACGTAGAAGATTAACTGTGTGATAAACTTGTGCCGTGACCTCACTTGAATAAAATGGAGCGCGAGCTCTCCTCCGATGTGGGCGGATGTGAGCGGCCTTCTACCTGAGGTTGGAGGCAGGTGGGAGGCAGGTGTGGGCCGGCGGTGAGCACACCAGCTACTCGCACCCCGGAAGTGGACGTGAGGGTCAAGGGGAGAACATCAGCGGGTCGGCTCATCGGGTTCCTCCTCTCATGGACCCACCGAGGCGCACGCCTTCCCCACCTCGTGCACACGCGCGGCTATCGGATCCCATGCAGGTTAGCCCCGCCCCCGAGCGCGCTGGTCGATCAAGAGGCACACGCTGGTTTTACCTTTGGGCCCGGGGGGCTGCTTCCCTGCTGGTTAATCCCGGCTCAGAATTGCCCGCGAGGGCCCCTTCTCCCCCCGGAATCCGGCGAAGCCTCGGGGAGCGAGCCACCGTGCCCGCGGACGCTCCAAAAATAAAACTGTGTCGATGTGTGTTTGTGTTGCAGAGGGGGGGGGGGGGGGGGAAGGGGGCTCCTGAGGTGAGGGAGGTGCAGCCCCTACAGGCGGTTGGAGGACACCTCCACCTGAGAGTGAGCACGGTCGTCTAAGAGGGAGAGATCCAGCATGTGGGTGGGAAACAAGCCTTCTACCCGACTGGGGGGCCGGGGGGCGTTTTCACTCTTTGTGGTGCTCCGGAGGTTCATGAAGCTCCACTTACAACACTTTCTTAAGGTCCTCAACCGGTTTATTTAAGAAAGATTTAACAAACAAAAATGTTTGGAAATTTTTTCATCTTGAGTAGAACATGTTTCACAGACACATTATTACGTCAAGGCACAAAATGGCGATGTCTATAAATCAATCTACACTTTGTGTGACTTCCTGTGACAATAGAGTGGATGCTGATCTGCCTTTAGGGAAGTCATGTACACCCTTAAGTGCAGCAGGCTACAGTACATTCATTATGTACCACAATATATGTATATGTGTAAAGCCCTGTAGATCACAGACGCAATGCTCTAAAACCTCCGACCACCAGAGGCAGCGTTGAGCAGCAGCACTCCCCTCACCTGCAAAGCTGCATTCTGTGTAGTGACCAGCAGGGGGCGACTCCTCTGCTCCCATAGACGTCTATGAGGAAATGACTCTACTTCTCTGTAGTGACCAGCAGGGGGCGACTCCTCTGCTCCCATAGACGTCTATGAGGAAATGACTCTACTTCTCTGTAGTGACCAGCAGGGGGCGACTCCTCTGCTCCCATAGACGTCTATGAGGAAATGACTCTACTTCTCTGTAGTGACCAGCAGGGGGCGACTCCTCTGCTCCCATAGACGTCTATGAGGAAATGACTCTACTTCTCTGTAGTGACCAGCAGGGGGCGACTCCTCTGCTCCCATAGACGTCTATGAGGAAATGACTCTACTTCTCTCTGGATTTATTCCCTCAGTAAACATTGTAAACATGAGTTTATGGTCTCAGTCTCTAGTTTCAAGTCTTCATTTAGTGAATTATGGTCCATTTAGAGACAAACAGACCATAAAGCAGGGGACGCTAGAGGGTGGGGCTACACACTGATTGACAGGTCTCTAATACGCCGTAAAGCAGGGGAGGCTTTAGGGCGGGGCTACTCACTGATTGACAGGTTTCTAATGCACGATAAAGCAGGGGAGGCTTTAGGGCGGGGCTACTCACTGATTGACAGGTTTTTATAATGCACGATAAAGCAGGGGGCGCTTTGGGGCGGGGCTACTCACTGATTGACAGGTCTCTAATACGCCATGAAGCAGGGGATGCTTTAGGGTAATCTGTCGACAGGACGCTGCCTTCACAGAGAAATATAAGTGGCTCCTCAGCAGCATAAATACGGTCACTTCAGTTCACTGGTTGCGACACAAACAAGATGTCGTTGAGTCAAAACGTCCACTTCTTATGTGATGTCAATGCTAATTCTTTTGGGGACCCCATAACCTTTTACAGTGAATCTTCACAGTACTCGTTGGAGCCACTTGAGAGGGCGCGAGTGTTGTTATGTTCTGATTAATGGGAAAGACTATCGTACATGTCGTCCCACTGACCAGAGGTCACTCAACATATGAACATATGGTGTCATGATATTCACAAAAATTATTTATTAAACGTGTATCTCTCTTGTAGATTTGTTGTCGGACCTTTTTTCATTTACTTTAATAAGAAACTGTTAAAACCTGCTCTTACGCTATTGATCAAAACACGTTTTAAAGTACAATTTTTTGTAATAATAATAATAATAATGTAAATCTCCTTTCAATGGATCATGACCTCTAACTAAAACCAGCTGATAGAGAGACGAGCCCCCTCTGTCTCACACAGCTGTTACTGGGTATCCTATGAGAAACAATTAGCAACATTTGCATCCATTAGAGGTCGTGTTTAGGTGACATATTGTCTCCCCTTTTAGCTCAGGGGAGATCGGCGGCGAGGCTCCACACAGAGCAGCTAACTGGTTTCCTATTTGGTCTCGGTGTAAGATGCCAGCGACAGAATACGTTATCATCATCACGTCATCATTGCCTCCAACACTATTATCATAACTGTTGCTTCTGCCTTTAGATGCTCCCCAAATGGAGCTTTAAGAAAATCTTTATTTAATTCAAAATGTTGCAGCTAAATTCAACCTTTGTTCCTTCGTAATGGAGTGAACTAGTCTGAGATGTGACTTCACAGGTAATGACATCTGCTCCTCTGCGTCCTGGACGTTTCTTTAGGACGTTTCTTTAGGACGTTTCTTTATGACGTTTCTTTAGGACGTTTCTTCATGACGTTTCTTTATGACGTTTTTTTATGACGTTTCTTTAGGACGTTTCTTTAGGACGTTTCTTTAGGATGTTTCTTTATGACGTTTCTTTAGGACGTTTCTTTAGAACGTTTCTTTAGGACGTTTCTTTAGGACGTTTCTTTATGACGTTTCTTTAGGACCTTTCTTTAGGACGTGTCTTTATGACGTTTCTTTATGACGTTTCTTTAGGACGTTTCTTCATGACGTTTCTTTAGGACGTTTCTTTAGGACGTTTCTTTAGGACGTTTCTTTAGGACGTTTCTTTAGGACGTTTCTTTATGACGTTTCTTCATGACGTTTCTTTAGGACGTTTCTTTAGAACGTTTCTTTAGGACGTGTCTTTATGACGTGTCTTTATGACGTTTCTTTATGACGTTTCTTCATGACGTTTCTTCATGACGTTTCTTTAGGACGTTTCTTTAGGACGTTTCTTTAGGACGTTTCTTTAGGACGTTTCTTCATGACGTTTCTTTAGGACGTTTCTTTATGACGTTTTTTTATGACGTTTCTTTAGGACGTTTCTTTAGAACGTTTCTTTAGGACGTTTCTTTAGGACGTTTCTTTAGGACGTTTCTTTAGGACGTTTCTTTAGGACGTTTCTTTAGAACGTTTCTTTAGAACGTTTCTTTAGGCCCTTCACTGTAGGACGTTTCTTTATGACGTTTCTTTAGGACGTTTCTTTAGGACGTTTCTTCATGACGTTTCTTTAGGACGTTTCTTTAGGACGTTTCTTCATGACGTTTCTTTAGGCTGCACATGTTTGTTTGGTTTTTCATTCCTCACAGGGCCTTTGTACCTTTGGACGGAGCTTAGCCCGGGAAGCCAAAATCTGAAAGTTTCTCCGGAAGAAATCCCTAAACATTCAGCTCCCACTGAATCGTGTGATTCCACAACGGTGGCTGATTGATGGCGAGCGTCCTGCTCACTGCTATTATTACCGCTGTGTGACTGATCGACTGCTTGATGAAGTGTGAGAGACGCACACACACACACACACACTTTCCCTCCATTGTCTGGATGCCAAGCTGGACGCCCCCCCCCCCCCCCACTCAGACTTTCATCACTTTAAATTTAGCCCCCCAAAACTTTTCAACTGCTCCTTTTCAAAACACGGAGCCCTCTCTTCCCACCCCAAAAATTTACCCATTCTCTCCTCCAAGGGCACGCCCGGCCCCCCCCCACCCCCAAAAAAAAAAAAGAGGACCCCCCAGAACAAATTTTGTCAGAGAAGGGACGGAGGGGGGGAGGAAAAAAAGATTTTTTTTTTTTAACACTTTCCCCAAAACCCCCCTGCCGCCGGGACGGGAGGGATTCTTCCTTTTGGGAAAAGAGAAGCCCCCGCCCACCCCACGCCTAAACGAGCTGGGAGTGCGGTAGCCTATTCGGGTAGTGTTTGAGGTTATATTTCTTGTTATTTTTTCTATTATATGA